AGGTCAAGTTAAAGGCCTGGTCAAATCCCATGGTCGCTAAGAGCTGGACAACTTAGCAACTACACAACAACAACAAAAAAGAGTCAATCACTTCTTAAAAAAAAAAAGAAGTTCACGGTCAGTTTTGCCCAAATTCAATTTGATTTTTGCAGACTCTCCTTAGCATCTGGATGTTTGAACAAGTCTTATCTATAGGTCATCTCATTTCAGAAATCCCCAAGGTGAACAAACCCATGGGTGTTCTCACTGTAGTGAATTCTGCAGCTAACATTATCCTGGTGGGGCATCAGAAGCTTCCTCCTAAACATGAAACTTTTGATTAGAATGGGGCTTCCCTCATAGCTCAGTTGGTAAAGAATCCGCCTACAATGTAGGAGACCCCGGTTCGATTCCTGGGTTGGGAAGATCCGCTGGAGAAGGGATAGGCGACGCACTCCAGTGTTCTTGGGCTTCCCTGTGGCTCAGCTGGTAAAGAATCTGCCTGCAATATGGGAGACCTAGTTCAATCCCTGGGTTGGGAAGATCCCCTGGAGAAGGGAAAGGCTACCCACGCCAGTATTCTGGCCTGAAGAATTCACAGTCCATGGGGTCCCAAAGAGTTGGACAGGACTGAGCGACCTTTACTTTCAATTAGGAAGGTACATTCATGGTAGATAAGCCTTTTTTGCTTTCTCAATGTCCCACAGTAGGAGAATATCTTACTTGCTTTATGATGCAGAATTCATGGGGCCTTGTTGCTGCCTGATGCATGAGTGGCTTCTTTACTTGTTTTCTTGGGAGACCGGTTCCTCCCTTTGACCTGGACTGAAGCATTTCTCAGGATCTAGGCTTTCAGGGCAAAACTGGGTCAGTCTCAGGCAAACTGCTGACTCACTTTCTGAGAGGACTCCTGGCTCTGTTATCAGGTCTTTTTGAAACTGGGAGGTTGGAATACGTATCAGTGTCTCCACTTCTCAGAATCGAGCATCACAACCACCCGGCTTTGGAGCACAAGCCTGGCCCCCTCAATATCCTACTTCCGGTGCTTACCAGAGTCTATTCCAGATCAGTTTCATCTCTTCCAATGCGTCCATTAAAAATCCTGGCTGTGACTACAGACAATTAGGAGAGTAGCCTGAGGAATGGTGTGTCTTCCTTATTTTTAAATATCTTCTGTATTTATTGCCCAACTACTGTACTTTTGGCTCAGCATTGGGTTCAGTGATGTTCCATACTAGTGCAGACTTTGCTCACCACCACTGTAGAGTCGGGAAAGATGAATAGCCAAGCAATTAAGTTGGACTGGCCAAAAAGTTTGTTCCAGTTCTTCCATAAAAAATTTGTTCGGCTAACCCAATACAAATCTTAATCCTTTTATCAGGCCAGGCTAGGAAGAGGCTATAGTGTTGGAATAAATTCTGTTAGTTTTACACTTCTCACCATCACAGATTGCAACTTAGCTTTATGCTAAGTAGTAATATGAAAAACAACTGCATGCTTAAAAAATTTTTATACGTTTACATTATAACAAAACATAAGCTATATTCCCTGTGTTGTATAGTGAAATCTTGTAGCCTATTTTACTCCTAGTAGTTTGTACCTATCATTCTCCCACCCTCATATTGCAAACCCTCCTCCCCACTGGTAACCACTAGTTTGTTTTCTATATATGTGAGCTGCTTCCTTTTTTGTTATATGGACTAGTTTGTTGTGCTTTTTAGATTCTACACGTAAGCAATATCGTATAGTATTTGTCTTTGCCTTGTCTCTCTTAGTATAATGCCCTCCATCTACGTTGCACAAATGGCAAAATTTCATTCTTTTTATGGCTTAGTAGTATTCCATTGTATATATATATAAACCACATCTTCTTTTTTAAAAAAGTTAATTTATTTTAATTGGAGGATAATTACTTTACAATCTTGTGGTGGCTTTTGCCATACATCGACATGAATCAGCCGTGAGTGCACATGTGTCCCCCCCATCCTAAACCCCCCTCCCACCTCCCTCCCCAACCCCATTGCCTCTGGGTTGTCCCAGAGCACCAGCTTTGCGTGCCCTGCCTCATGCATCGAACTTGCACTGGTCATCTGTTTTACATGTGGTAATATACATATTTCAATGCTGTTCTCTCAAATCATCCTACCCTCGCCTTCTCCCACGGAGTCCAAGAACCTGCTCTTTGCATCTGTGTCTCTTTTGCTGCCTTGTATATAGAGTTGTCGTTACCGTCTGTCTAAGTTCTGTGTATATGTGTTAATATACTGTATTGGTGTTTCTCTTTCTGACTTACTTCATTCTGTATACTAGGCTCCAGTTTCATCCACCTCATTAGAACTGACTCAGAATGTGTTCTTTTTTATAGCTGAGTAATGAGTAATAGTTTGTCGTGTATATGTAGCACAACTTCGTTATCCATTTACACATCTTATTTATCAATTCATCTGTTGATAGACACTCTGGTTGCTTACATATCTTGGCAGTTGTAAATAATACTGCTGTGAACCTTGGGGTGTATGCATCTTCTTAAATTAATTAAAAAAAAATATGCCCAGGAGTGGAATTGGTGAGTCATATGAAAGCTCTATTTTTAGTTTTTAAAGGAAACTCCATCTTGTTTCCCATAGTGGCTGCACCAATTTACATGCCCACAGCAGTGTACAAGGGTTCCCTCTTCCCCACCTCCTGACTTTGTAGTTTTTTAGGAAAAAAAAACTGAAGACTGTCCTTTATACCACTAATGTTCATAGTACAGAGACCCTCACAATGGCTTGAAAAATGTCTTTGCTGTAGAACAAGTATGGTTATTTGTAGTGAATAGTGAGAACTAGGAAGTTAAGTTGTATTTTACACGGAGTTTTCAGTAGTGTATCTTAGCCTTGGTTTAGGTTTTTTGGTAAAATTATACTCTTCCTATTATCCTGCTAAAATATTTGAGCCCTTCTTCATCAAAGAAGCTTCTTGGATCTCTTTGCAACAGGGGGAAATATTACTCTTTTCTCATACTAACCTCCCCTCAAAGCAGCATTTTAAAAAAAGACTATAAAGGATTTTGTATTTCAGAGGATCATTGTTCCCAAGTTGGCTATGAACCAGGGAAAAAGTTCTTGCCCCAAGCTTCTCCAATGTTTGACAGCCAGACCTACCCCACTGCTCCTGACTAAGCCAATGAAATCTTAGGGGAATGTTTTGGGCGATGGGGATTCTTGGTGTACATCACAGTCTTGCGTCAGGATCTGACATCTTAGGAATAAAAAAATTGATTCTGAAAAACCTCTTTTTCATCTTTCCAGTGCCTCCCAGTTTTTCTTTACTTGCTTGGATAATATTTAGAACACATAATTTGCAAAGTTTAATATGTGTTGCTAGGGCAACCGGAAGACAGCAGTAGAAATTAAACCAGCGCTAAGGAACTGAGAGCGCAACTCCTTGGATGAATCTTGGTCTCGGCTGATGCAAGATCTACTGGGAGTGAGATGAAGTCTCCATAGCCCTGCATAGAGGGAGAAGCCTAACTCCTGAAACTCCTCCGAAAAGTGCACCATCTTCTCAGAAGTGGGAAATTTCTTGTGTTTTTCCCTCTGTTTCTTGTTTGAGGGCGTGCCTAGTCTACTCATCTCAGCCTGGTCTGCAGATTTTTTCAGAACAAAGGCAGCACCGTAAGTTATACATCTGGATGACTAAGTACTCCTCAAATGGATAGTGTGAGGATCAAATGTAAATGAAACAGGGTTTTTGGAAGTTGTAAAGGATTACACAAATGTTAGTTATTTTTTTCCCAACATTTGGAATTTGGGGAAGAAAAGAAAGAAGAGGAAGAGAAAAAAGGAGAGGGAGCATGGATTTTTGATCTTAATCACAACAAGGCTTTCCATGAGCAGCAGAATAGTATCTCATTTTTTAAAAAACTGCATCCTCAAAGGCAGGAAAAGGTGAAATATTTGACCTCAATTGCTTGATCCTCAATCAGCAGTCCAAGCTTCATGCTCCAAACACTGACTTGTCTTTCTTAGACTAACCTCATGTTGTTTTAGGAAACATTCATTGAAACAAAAGAACAAAATACGCAAGATAATAGTGTTTTTAAAAACATTTTTTAATGAAGAAATAATTCCATTCCAAAATATAGACACACAATTAAATAGTTTAATCACTTCAAAATATAACATGTCCCCAGGAGGTTCCAACACACACACATACACACAAAACAATACTTAACAGCAATACAAAAAACCCATACAATAGTAGTTTTGTTACATACCCATGAATGTTGTGAAATCTTTAGTGTCTCTGAATCGGTTACTTCAAATGGCGTCAAATTACAGTAGTCATAATTAAAAATGTCTTAGAGTTAATTAGCCTCAGGATGTGATACCTCTGATTTTTTTTTTTTTCCCTCTTTTTGGTTCAAAGGTAAAAATGCCCTTTCTTCTGAGGACATGGTGTAGTTGTCTGTGCGGAATCGAACCAAGGTGACTGCAGCAACCAAAGGCTGCCGGATTTACAACGTCTACCTACAGTTAACAGCCAAGAACTAATAAGGGTGGATAAAGATGATCAAAATAAAAGCAGACATCAGTGCTAAATTATGATGCAACAGTTTGGCTCATGCATATAAGAAAATACATAGTATATCACAACAAAGGCCACACTCTTATGTAGTTCAGTTCACATTACTACTTACAAATGAACCTTCCCTGTCTTAGAGTAGATCACTCGAGAATCCATTTTTCACAATCTCCAGCACATCTCCCTCTGACCAACCACATTTACCCCGACTTCCGTCCTGACCAACCACAACTGATTCCTGAATCCCCTACAGTAGATTTCACCCTCCTCCCTCCCTCCATTCACATGGCGCCGTGGGGGAGGGTTGGCTGTGTTAGACCAGTGCTCATTAATAGGGCATCACCTCTAATGGAGATGGATGTGCAATTCATCGTGGAACAAGAAAGAAACAATCCTCGCCAGACAGAACTGTACCTAATGGACAGGACAGGTGACACCTGCTGGGTTTGCACTTAGAACAGGCCCCAAAAATAGATTTGGAGAGCCAAGGAAAGAAACCCGCCCAAAAACACGAAAACCCAAAATAACGCACGCCATTTTGTCTCGTTTACAGGACAGGGGTGCTTGAGTCTGGTCTCAGGGCTGACGTGGAGCTAAGAGAAAGAAAAGGTGGCTGGTTAGTCAGGAATCGGTCATTGGCAGCAGTTTCCAGAGTCCTTGCAATGACTTCGTACAATGGGATCGACAACCCTGTGATGGAATTGGCAATGAACACTATGATGCGGGAAGGTTACCCACAGAACAGTCGAAACCTTAGACAAACATGATGCAGAAACACAAAATGATAACATCTGTCAGCTCGGTCCAGGTAGTGGCTGAATGCCACCTGCAGGGTCAGGGTGCTGAGACTGAGAACTGCCCTATGATTCAGAGCCAACAGCCATGTAGGTAGCTGGGATGTAGTGGTTTTAAGTACTGAGTATGAGGCACCAGTGGCCACCTGCTCCATCTAGAGAGGTATGGGTTCACAGAGGATGGGCAGAGGGAAGGAGATGAACATTAATATACACTAACAAAACCTGCAATAACATCCCTCTGTGCAAAGAAATCTGAGAACTGTGCAGTTGTGTCCCTTTGGTGTCAGCCTGTTCTCAGGGACATTTGTCAGGCTGGCTCTCCAGGGAAAAATGATTAAGTACATCAAGGGGCAGAATGTGCTCCTTGCTAATGCTAACAGAGAGCTTTACTAACCCCAAGGCAAGCGATTTTGTTCCTGAGGGCAGTCAAGGAGGTGGTGTCTGACCCAACACAGAGATGGGAGCATCTGAGAACCCTCTGGGAAGGAAGAAGGAAGAAGTTGGGATGTCACTTCTCAGCGGGGCACCCACCAACTACTGACTCTGTGGGGTGGGAGAAGTCTTCTGCCAACCCTGGAAGCAAAATCGAATCGCTCAAACTTTGAGGATGACTTAGAACCTTTCTTGTTTATTCTGAGTAAGGCCTTTTCAGAGATTTTATTACACAACTTTCTTCTAAAGCAGTGGTTCTTCAGCTTCAGCATGCATCAGAATCACTTGGAAGGTTCAAACACAGATGACGGGGCCCCAACCCCAGAATTTCTGATTCAGTAGGGCTGGGGTTAGGGCCTAAGAATCTGCATTTCTAATAAATTCCCCAGGTGATGCTGGCGCTGCTGGTCCAGAGACGGCATTTCAAGAACCACTGTTCTAGAATGATGTTCTCTTCTTTCTTTTAAAGGAGAAACAGGAATTCAGAGAAGCTGCCAATTAAAGGATAATGTATCTACTATATTGCAGGATTTTTATTTCATCAAATCTTGAAACAAGTAGAAGATTATTTTTTTCATTTCCCCAGAATCCCTAAGGGAGGTCTTTGGTGCTCCCCAAAAAGGGCCCTCAGAAAGGACCATCAACAGAGTCATTCATTCTCCCTTCCTTGACCATTCTTTTGCACATCAGCTTTTCATGGAGTGCAAAATCCCAGCTCCACTTAGGAAAGCCTGTTTCCTCTTACGTGACCACAGGAGGCTGCATGCAGAACACCAGGTAGCCAGCTAAGGCAAAACACAGTCAGAAAGAAAAGGAGAGCGAACGTTTGCAAGCGCACTTTAAGCCTGTACATTTAAAGCTGAAAGGCCTCCAAACGACCTGATAGGGGAATTGGTGGATGAGCGGTGCTGTTAGAAACATGCTCCCTAAAGCTAAACCGAAAGGAACCAGCCGTGGAAGAGCAGAGATAACTTGAGTCCATTGGGGGGATCTTATGGCACCTGTGGTTTATAAACAGCTTTAGTAACGAGTATTTCAAAACAGAGTTCACAGTTTTTAAGAAGAGCTGTGCTGATTTTAAAAACTAGATTCTATATAATTTGAATGTTGCCTTTTTTTTGGAATATGATCTCTATTTGGAAAAAAAAAATATTTACACTAAATTCTATGGCTGATAGGTTAAGAGTATCTTGAAAGAAAACAACCCCAAGTTGGAAAGAAGCCACAGAGATTGGATTCTCTTGGTGGGTTTGGTTCAAGCCTCTGCTCTCAGAGACTTGGAGACAAGTGCAGACCATGCAGGCCAAGGACCCTTCTTGGCTTTGGGGCTCTGAGTCTGTACCCTTGGGAACCAAATCCTTCAGGCTCAGTGAATAACTGCAAGTGGTTGCTTTTTTTTCCAGTTGCTGTGGAAAAAAAATGTACAGTGTATATAATCAACTGTTTTGCTAAAATCTCAGAGAATTCAGAAATGAAACTCCTAGCTATAAACAGTATTAGTAATGTCGTTGTAAACTGACCAGGTTCAATATCATGTGCAAAGGTAAGATGCTTGTTAATACTGCCATTGCGAGTAACAGCAGCATGGGATTTCAGCCTGTGTTTTCATTTCGAGGGATGAGCCATGTTACAGAAGATGTAGCTGATAAGTTAGCTTTGAACAGAAGTCTTATTATTCTTTTTTTCCTTCTCAAAACACACGTCTATGAACTACAAAACTTAGAACAAAAAGTTAGCTGCACTATAGTCGGCAGAACACAGTCTTTAGGGGGCGGGGGTCTGTCGGGAGCGGCTGCATGTGGTGGGTCCTCTGTTCCTTGAGCTGAGGCTGCTGCCAGGCTGCCGTCTTCTCCTCTGGGGGTGCAGCTGTGTCCTTCATCACCAGCTCTCCTGTTACTTGCATCTGTCTGACTATAGCTTGCCTGGGAATAAGCAATGTGTGATTTTTTTTTTTAAAAGATGGAAACTGTTCTCTAAATTAAAGTTATGAAGCTTAGAATCCTCCCTTTCCCCCTCCCCGAAACACACATACACACACACACAGACTCCTTTCTTCCTCTGACAATCAGCAATGAATGTCTTGGGCCACTGGGCTATTGCACCTTCTGGTAGAAGAGAGGACAAGAATCCTCCATGCTGAGACTCTTGCCTAGTGGGCACCTAAGGCATCTGGAAGGTTCAAGCAACATAAGCAGAAATATCTGTGTTGTCCTTTGGACAAGGACATGAAAGCACTGACTCACCATCAGAATGCCATGCTAATTTTGTGGGGTGTTTTTGCCATGTTAATTAAAAAAAAAATCCACCTGTGATCTTCCATCCTCCAATTTCTGAGGTTAGGATGTGGCTGGCCAAGGTGAGTGGCCATGTGGCCATGTGGCCAGAGGGATGGAAAAGGGACCAACCTAAGATTTGAGTGGGCCAAAGTGGAACCACGGTGGACTCTAACTTGGGTGCTAAGCTTTATGTGTACCGTTTCTTCCCATGTGGCTAGCTGAAAAGCAATAAAACAGGTTTCTCTCCATTAGCTCTTGTTAATGTGTTGGTAAGTGCATATTTATCTTCAAAGAGGCCTAAGGATTTTCTTGAGCAGAGGATGGGTCTTCCATGTCTCTGGTGTTGCACCTTTTGCCTCTTAGTTACGTAGGGCTCTGCTTCGTGGATGCTTAATTGACTTTGAGCTGATGAAATCGACTTTAGGACCCTTGCAGAAGAGATGCATATATTTTGGGATAATCCAGTCTTGCAGTATAGCCAGTGAATAGATTTCAACAGATAACTGTTCTACAATCTCAGCTGTCTTTCTTGGTTTCATAAAGAAAAATTACAGTAGGGTAACCCACTCCAGTGTTCTTGCCTGGAGAATCCCAGGGACTGGGGAGCCTGGTGGGCTGCCGTCTATGGGGTCGCACAGAGTCAGACACGACTGAAGTGACTTAGCAGCAATAGCAGCAGCAGAACTAGCTGCAAGGATAAAAAGCTACTAGTTCCTGAAGTGCTCCATCAGATCTTAAATTAATTTTGTTTGACTTGGTGATTTGGTGACAGGCTGGTTTATATTTAGAATCCTGTGGAAGCCCAGCTAGGTAAGTAAGGATGCAGTAAGTAGCAGAGGTCACAACTCTTTTAAGTTTTATTGGAAATAAAATTTGAAGATTAAAATCTTTGGCGTTTATGGACAAGAACCAAATACTGCTTTTTATCTTGGTTTATGTCCAGGGCTGGGGCTCCCATTGTGGCTCAGTAGTAAAGAATCCACCTGCCAACACGGGAGACACAGGTTTGATCCCAGGGTTGAGAAGACCCCCTGGAGAAGGAAATGACAACCCACTCCAGTATTCTTGCCTGAGAAATCGCATGGACAGAGGAGCCTAGCAGGCTACAGTCCATGGGTGGTAAAAGAATTGGACCTGACTTAGTAACTAAATAAAAAATGTCAAAGGCATTTTATTAGGGTTTTTAAAGAAGTATATTTTTATAAGAACTACCTACTGATGTTTAAATAATGTGCATAACAAAAATGATCAAATTGCTAGAGTTCAGAGAAAGAAAATGCTATGAAAGGAAACGTCTTGCTCCTCTGGGAAAGTAACAGGAGTGAATATTTTCAGAAATTGCTCTTGGGAACTTTTTCACTGTAGTCATGATGAATCAGGAGAACTCGTGGAGTAGTAGTCTCAAGTCCAAGGGAGACAGACTAAAATGTACTCAATAAGATCCTTCCTTTTATACCAAAAGGGCCTCACAGCTCAAAAAATATATTTCATAATAACAATTACACCTTGATTTTTACTTGCTTCATCTTAACCTGAGGACCAAGACAGGAGGTCAGCAGTGTTTCAGCTAGAATGTATTCATTACTAATTGATATATCATTTAGAAGACATATATTCCTTTTTCAACTTAGCAGCCAGGGTTGAGTTTCCTCTCAACTGCACTTAAGACTTAGGAGATTCCATGGGTGGGAATAGACTGAAGAACTAAAATAGTTACAAGTCCTTGGTCTTCTGCAGTCATGACTGTGAGAGGTGTATTAGCTTTGAACTGTAATGTGGGACATCTAAATGGCCATAAGCTGGAGCCAGAGAAACCATCAGACTCATGGGACAGTGTAGCTGAAGGTGTGTCAAATCGTAGCACAAAGCCAAATCCCAACCTTATTCACGCAAGTAGAGAGAGCAAGCTAGTTCTGAGTCTTGGGGGTTCTCATACACTCACATAATAGTTATTGTCACTCCCAGGGACTGAGCTGCTTGTAAAGCACTGAGCACAGGGCTAGGCATGTATGTGTGTGCTCAGAATGAAACGATAGTGTGTCCGCCACCAGTTAAGCTGTAACTCGGTGTATCCCAGGGAGTACACCTCCTCTATGAGGTAGGTATTATGATACATGTTGTACAGTGGAAACAAAGGCTCATAGAGGTCTAAGCAATTTTTCAAAGATTATGCTGCTAGGATTTGATGGAACTCATTTTTGAAATCAGTCTGTTAGAGTCTAGAGCCTAAGCTTCAGACCACTATAGTCAAGTGGTCCTTGCCAATCAAATGCTAGTCCCTTTAAATTAAAAAAAAACAAAAAACAAAACTACTGAGAATTTCCCATGTATTTAGGTAAATCTCTTAAGGTGGGGGATCACAAGCCACAGGAAAGGTATTTTAAATTAATTTATATCTTGCTGAATTCCATGATGGGTGTGAATTAGCTGTTCCAAAAACATGAGGCTGTGGAAGCTTCCCTCTATGCTTTTTGTTTTCTTTAGTAATTAATGTTCTTGATTTCACTGGTTAAGGCACACACTTTGATCTTTTGGGCTCTAAGTATAGCAGGACTAAGGAGCTGACTCATTTCTGCAAGTGCTGAGCAAGCTTGAATTTTTCTCTCTCAAGTGCCAGAGAGATTGAAAACTTGGATGCAGTTATGGATCAGCAAATTGGCTTTATAGCCGAACGTTTCTGGGGCATCTTTGGGTTATAGAAATTCCTCTGCCAGTTTTCCTAATTCAAAGAGTAAAAAGTGAACTCCCAAGGTTGTCAGCTAAATCACCACTGGACTGGAATGATATGGTTCACGGCCCAGGATGATTCTTTGCTATCAGCAGGGAAAGAGGATAGTTTACCATAGAATAAACCTAAGAGACAGTGATTGTGCATGTAGGTTACAAGTGATCAGAATCCACTTTACAGTGACCACATTTCCTCCTAAATAAGTGGATACTTACTTGAGAGGAGAGTGATAAAAGGATATTGCATTCAACCTTGCAAGCTGACCTGTGGGTGACAAAGGACACAAACAAGAAAGGTGACATGTAAAGTCTGTGATGCAGTCAAGCTGGTGAATTATTTGGTTGGAAGCCATGCAGAAAGATAGGTAGACAGACAGAGAGAATCCAGGGAATGAAAGTAACCTTCTGACCCATCCAACAACTCATAGAGCAGTCAAGGAAAAACCACTTCAACCTTCTCCAGGGCATATAACACATGGACCTGTTACAATCTCTTCACCCTTTTCTTTGTCTTTTCTTTGAAGTCACTGGTTGTGGTGAGGAAAGGAGAGAAGAAGAGAGAAGAAAGGATAAAGAAGGAGCTTAAAATCTACCAGAGATGGCAGGAACTCCAATGGAAGCTGATGCTGTTAATAGAATTTCCTTTCATTTTGCTTGTATCAGGTTAAACCTCTAGTTCATTGAAATAAATAAAAATTTAATACCTTCTATGAAATGACTCCTTCTTTTAAAAAAAAATCAGAATTTCAGTTACAGTTGTCACCAAAATCCAGAAACTAATGTGGGTTCCCAGAGGGAGGTCTAATAGGTGCCTCTAACAGCATGAACCAGAATATTGATTATTTAACCACCTCTCTCTCTCCTTCTGCACAGCAGGGCCAAAAGTAGATATATGTAGGAATGCCACCTCTCAGAGTTCCCAGAGACACCCAGGGGCTTCATCCACACTAATTTCCTCCCGTGGACAGGCCATAGAAGTTGTGAAGAAAAACGTACTCCCTGGCGTGCACTCGAGGCAAGTCTGATTATGCAGGATTCAAGTACAGTTTTACATATCTGGTCACTGTTTGTTTACCTAGGCCTACATTGGAGTTATTCTGAAACACAACTGTTTTGGAACATTCCAAATAAGCAAAACTTCCATTTTATATTGTTAAGGTGGGGTTGGTAGACTTCCCTTTTGCTTTATTCTTCTTAGGAAAATATTTCCAAGCAATCTACAGATGTATGAGGAGTAGAAAACTTATTTTATCTGCTTTTCTTTCTTCCAATAACAGAGTAAGGGAGAGCTATTGCTCCTAAGATGGTGGGAAAAACTTATCTGGATATTGGACAGAAAGCCTGACCTGATAAAATAACCCACTGGGGCCTGGGGAGGGGCAGTAGGTCTCAACCATCCAAATACCCCTGTCCTCCCAGAACTCCAGCAAGGCACAGGGAAGGGAAACATACAAGGTAAATAAACAGGGCAGTAGAAAAATCTCCATGGGGAAAATGCATCCCTGTAAGGATAATATTATTCTCCATTGCACGTGTTGTATCAGGTGAATTCTCAGATGGATTAACATGCTATCCAGGATATATGACAATCTGTCCAACCACACCCTGCTGAGTGGGGGCCTACAGTTCCCCCAACATTTCTAGCTGAGGTTTGTCACTCTTTGACTTCTTAATATTTGATACGAGGCAGGCAGGGAGGGAAGTTGAGACAAGTGATTCAAGGACAGTGGTATACTTAGTCAATTTCCTTGTACCCTGTGGCCCATCCAAGGGCACAGAATCCCAGAGTATTCATGGGGGACTGGTACCAGGATACCCCCATCCCACAGATGGATCCCCCATCCATGGATACTCAAAGTCCCTTTCAGTTGAACCTCAGAATCCACAGATTCTGAATCTGCTGATACGGAAAGCCAACTGTATCTTTTCTTAAAAAGTATTTTCCTAATGATCTTGGAGGGTCATGAACTATTCATCACTATGGAAGGCCTCTTTTCATTTTCCAGCTCAGAATTTATAGGAATACATGGTGAGTGACAGCTTTAAGAAGCATTAAACCTTTCCCTGTCTTAGAATTCACGGACTAAGGAGTCCTGTCTGAATATTCCAGAAATGGAGGGTGGAAGGAAGGAGAAGGCACCAAGTTTTGGAATAATGTAAAAGATCCGGTCACCGAGGGGCGGGGGCCGAAGTGGGGTGGGTTCTCAGTACCTGGTAGGCTTCGTCCTGTAGCTTCTGTTTTAGGTATTCCTCCATCTTCAGCTCGTTCTCCAGCTGCCGGACAGAGTCATCTTCATAGTTCTCATCCTCTGGCCGCACGTAGGGGTCCCCATCTTCTGTAACCCTGGGAGTCAACCACAGAGGGCATTTTGGAGCAAATCTTAAAAGGCAAATATGAGTGGAATTCCTGTATTACCTGTAGTTCTGAGTGCACATTTATTTTGTCTCTAATTCACTTCTTTGCTTCAGTTTACTTCAATTCAGGATTTTCTTTGACATGATGAAAAAAACTTGAAAGACGCTTTGGAAGTTTGGAGGAATATACGATCAAGGTGTTCTCATAGGCAGTTTTCCTACGGTGGTCTGGTGACCTTTATCACCTGTTTTCCTAGAGTTTACTGGAATGAGTTGCCCTTTAAATGTTTGTCATTCTTTAAAAAAAGGCAGACTTATCTTTTGAGAGGATACCGTTTTCCCAATTTGGGGGCTTAAAAAAATGGAGTCCAAGAACACTTTCTATAAGGGAAGTGAGCCCTCTAGTGAAATAATGTCTAAGGATATTTGTTCGCAATTTAATCCTCTTTGTGTTCTGCATGTATATAGGCCCATGCACCCATGTGCTGTATTTTTATGGTAGAATCAAGGCTCAGAATATCAGTCAATCAATGTCAGGAAGACTAATATTCTAACCCACAGCTCTTGATCTTAAAGATGTATACTATCTCTGACTTTAAGAAATCCATTTAAATTGCCCAATTCCACTATGAAACAAATGGATAAGAATGGTCTCATTCACTAATATGTGACTCTCCATCTATTCATCCAAGTATATATAAAGTTCTTCCTGAGACTGAATATAAATGCACTACCTAAATCATATGACTAAAATATTCTTGGGCTAAAACACAGTACATGCTTAGATAGTACAGATATTAAAATATCCCCTAAAATGAAAAAGAGTGGTCAAGTAGAAGTTTCTGGGTTGGAACGTAAATGTCAATGTTCATGTTTATTTATATCTGTACGACATGTTCTTGTTATTTTTAGAGGTTTGGGGCCAGCCTAAATAGGTCTGCAAGGCCTCTGTAAACTTTCCCTTCCCAACCCCCACAGCCCTGTTGGTAGCCGGTCCTGTCACCAGTCTGCCAGGGACAGCAGATGGGTGGCTTTAGCTACAGTCTTGGATCTTGCAACTGGATCAAGAAAGTTTTAGGTCACCACCATGTAAATGCTCAATTATAAAAAATCACATAGCTAATGTTATTTACCAGACTGAACTGATCACAGTTCACCAGTCTGAATAACAAACAAATCAAATAATTCTAAATTACAGAGGGAAGGACAAGAAAGCAAACTACAATTAAAAGCAGCAGCCTCCTGCCACATAAAATTATAACTGTTTTGTTTTGATATTATGCTCTCTGCCTGTTCACAGCTGGCTTTCAAACCATGTCTATTTTTAATTTCCTGTTATTACTGGTTTTTTACTCACTCCTTGGATGGGGAGTCAAAACACCAGGAAGGCCTCTGGTTAATTTCTTCTTTGGGTCTTTAAAACAGACAGTTTATTTCTGTAGACTAGTCTGCAGTTCTCATGTTAAGCACCACCACCCTTCTGTAGCTTTTTAAAAAACTGCTTATCAACTCCCTTTTCCAGCTTCTGGGTGAGCCCCTGTCCATATTTCTCAGAACTCCACTTACTTAACTTTCTTAATTTTATGCTTTTCCCTCCCAAGCGGGGCTCTGCAGTTCTGTCTTTGCTTTACCTTTGTTTCTCAGCTTTAACTTTTTCTGCCTGACTACTTTGAGCTGATGCAAGGTCACAGTCTAGTAGGGAATGTCACTGATTCTACTGGCTTCTGTCAAGCTACAGAAACCTAATTGGGTGAAAATCTTTGCTAAATGTCTTTTGAAGGTCAGATTTATACATATTCAACAAGTCAAGCAAATTGGACTTCTTTATAATGAGATTTTTATACATTTAGTTATTCAAATCACAAGTGCATAGATGATGTTTACACTCACTTTGAACAGAGGCCTCTCTAGTATCACCGGGGCCCTTAAGAGTGAATCTAGTAAATTTGGAAGACGGGATGATTTATCTTCTGAACTAGTCTATGAGTCCTGGGACGCTGGGAGTGATTTTTGACACTATTTTGTATTTAACTGGTTAAGTGTCTTGGGCAGGCCAGGATCTCAATAGGTTACTGATACTCTCGAAATTGTTAGGAGGAAAAGTCACAATGAGAAATTGAAACAAAGCACCCTACTACCTGGGCTTCCCAGGGGGGCTAGTGGTAAAGAACCCATCTGCCAATGCAGGAGACACAAGAGACCGTGGGTTTGATCCCGGGACAGGAAGATCTCCTGGAGGAGGGCATGGCAACCCACTCCAGTACTCTTCCCTGGAGAATCCCATGGACAAAGGAGCCTCGCGGGCTGCAGGCCATAGGGTCGCATAGATTCGGACATGACTGAAGTGACTTAGCACATCCACACCCTTCTACCTTTTCTGGCAGAAAAGGAAACTGCGTCATTCGTTTCCAAAATGAAAAACTAAGCAACCATGTATTTATTTTCCTATGCTCCCTGCAGAGTGTTCTGTTACTGAAAAAACACCCCCAGGCAGAAGATACTCACATGTCCCCACGCATGGTGCTTGGGGTAGCTCCACCGTGAAGGTACCCAGGTTTTCGGGCGTGGATTTGTGCTAGAAAAGCTTTTTCAGAGGTTGGTGATGGGACCAGATCTTCAAACTGAGTCCGTGCAAATTCAGAATCCACGTTACTATCAGTTTCACTCCCAACCTCTATTAGGTACAATTGAAGAAAGTAAAGAATGTCTTAGATTTTATTATGATCAGCCAATAAAGGGCTAGGTTTAACATAAACTAACTTGTGCTGTGTAAAACACTGACCAGCTACTGTACACAAGTCAAGTAAGTGTTCATTGTTTTTTCAAAATGAGAATTGATATTGACATGAATTGCCATAAGGTCAGGAAGACTCTTAAGAGTCCCTTGGACTGCAAGGAGATCCAACCAGTCCATCCTAAAGGAAATCAGTCCTGAATATTCATTGGAAGGACTGATGTTGATGCTGAAACTCCAATACTTTGGCCACCTGATGCAAAGAACTGACTCATTTGAAAAGACCCTGATGCTGGGAAAGATTGAAGGTGGGAGGAGAAGGGGATGACAGAGGATGAGATGGTTGGATGGCATCACTGACTTAATAGGCATAAGTTTGAGTAAACTCTGGGAGTTGGTGATGGACAGGGAGGCCTGGTGTGCTGCAGTCCATGGGGTCGCAAAGAGTTGGACATGACTGAGCGACAGAACTGAACTGAGCCATAAGATCATTTAGAATACAGTATTGTCTTTTTGGGGCTTCCCTGGTGGCTCAAATGGTAAAGAATATGCCTGAAATGTGGAAGATCTGGGTTTGATCCCTGGGTCAGGAAGATACCCTGAAGAAGGGAATGGCAACACACTCTAGTATTCTTGCTTGGAGAATTCCATGGACACAGGAGTCTGGTGGGCTACCGTCCATGGGGATGCAAGGAGTTGGACACGGCTGAGCAACTAACACACACACACACACACACACACACACACACACTGTCTTTTTAAAATTTCAATAATATATAAGGAATTTTTGTCTTAATAACTGACAATTCCCCAAGCATTCTGTTTTTCCCCCTCTTCATTAAAACTGTTGTTACTTTTGCTTAATATTATTGGGTTGGCCAAAAGGGTTTTTTGGGGTTTCCATAAGCTATTAGGGAAAGTCCACTTTAACTTAAGATAAACAAACCTAAAATACTACATTCACTTAATATTTCAAAGTACTGTAAGAGTATAAACTAATAGTACTCTGAAACGTCCACAATGAGAATGTATTCATTTTATTCATCATTTGCTAGGGCAGTGGGTATATGCCACTAACCATGATATATATATTAATTACTGTCATTTTTATCCTATCTGGTAATCTTAACCTAAAATAATAGCAACAATTTTCATTATTTTAACTCTAATTATACTTTCAGAAATTTAACTCCAGATGTTTTATTAATGTTGAAGTTTTATTTTTACAGTTTTTGTAATCTCAACTACATGACCACAGTCCTGAAAAACAGTCGTATGGCTAGTAGGGCTTTCATGAATAGATGAAATGTATTCCTAACTAGCAAGATATTTATTTGTATATTAACACTGTTAAGTTTTTTAAAACTCTGTAGTATTATTAGGATAAAGAGTACTGCAATTTTATGCTATATATTTTCTGGGAAGATCTTTCTTTGGTGATATTGCCAAGGTGAATTTCAGTTTGTTGTTGTTTAGCCGATAATTCATGTCCAGCTCTTTTGTGACCCTATGGACTATAGCCCACCAGGCTCCTCAGTCCATGGGATTTCCCAGGCAAGAATACTGGAGTAGGTTGCCATTTCCTTCTCCAGGGCATCTTCCTCTCCCAGGGATCAAATCCTTGTCTCCTGCATTGGCGGGCAGATTCTTTACCACTGAGCCACTTAAGAAGCCCAAATTTCAGTTTAGCTTCATTCAAATAGCCATGCATTCCAAATTAACAGAGTCTAAATTAGTAAATAAGACATTTGACCTTATAAAATAAGTTCAGCGTCATGTCACATTGGGTCATGATATATGTAACAGTGGCTAACTTGGAATTCTGAATTTTTAAAAAATTTTATTTTTAATTGGAAGGTAATCACAGTATAGTGATGGTTTCTGCCATACATCAACATGAATCAGCCACAGGCATACACATGGGATTCTGGATTTACAAGTCAATTTTAATATTTTTCTTTGTTCTTTTCTGCATTTTTCAAACTTTCTGCATTGAGCATGTATTTATAGTCTTTTCATCAGCAAAATATAAACAGTACTAAAAAATCTAATATCCCAACAAAATGTCACATAGATCTTTAAAAAATCTTTATATACTTGACAATGAGAAGATCTCTTTTAAACAGGAAAGTTGTTTTTAATTGTAAATAACTGGAATCAACCTAAATATTAAACATTAAATGAATAGTTAAACCAGAGTAGTTTAGCTTACAGTAAATGTTATTTTCTTCTTTATACAATTCTGAGTTGTTAGCTATTTTTGGAGTAATAAGTAAAGTTAAGAATAGACCCTGATGTTGGGAAAGACTGAAGGCAGAAAGAGAAGGGGGTGGCAGAGGACGAGATGGTTAGATAGCATCACCAATTCAATGGACATGAATTTGAGCAAACTCTGGGAGATAGTGGATGACAGAGAAGCCCAGCATGCTACAGTCCATGGGATCGCAAAGAGTTGGATAAGACGCAGAGACTGAACAACAACAAATAAGGTTTAAAGATCACTCTGAAATCTCCAGAGGCCTTTCTTAAAAGTTTACCCACAAGGTTTTAATTATTAAACTCAAGATGGTCTCACATTTCTCACTCAGACAATAAACATCTTAAGATAAGAATACAGAGTTTCCAGCTAAAAAGATTGCACCTAAGCATTCTATGAGGAGATCCCTAACAGAAGTTATGGGCCCTTCTGCAATGCGCAGACATACAAGAGGGGACCAGGGACTTACCGGAATTCAGCTCTTTCACGAGGGAGGACATGGTGTTAGTGATGGAATCTGCTGCTACTAGTAAATCATTCCTTAAATTTCTTCTCGAGCCTTAGGAAAGAATGATAACGGGAAAAAAAGTTCAAAACTCTCCTTTTCCCCAACTTTTTATGCTGTTTATCATTCCCATTGAAATGCTACAGCAAGAAAACTTCCAAGACTTCTTTTCAGAAGTGCTTTGGTTCATCTCCTGAAAAAAAAAAAAACTTTGTGTTCAAGGCAATAGCCTTTGATGTATGAAGACATGGCAACTGATGGGGATTCATACAATTTATTGTTCAAACTGGGAAAATTTTACAAGTGACAGGGGTGGTATTAGTAACAAGAATGAGGACTTCTCTGGCGGCCCAGTGGTTAAGACTTTGCCTTCCAATGCAGGGGGTGCGGGTTCAATCCTTGGTAGGGGATCTAAGATCCTACATGTCTCACAGCCAAAAAACCAAAACGAACCAGAAGCAATATTGTAGCAAATTCAATCAAAGTTTAAAAAATGGTCCACATCAAAAAAAAATAAAATAAAATAAAAAAATGACTGGGTGACCTGGCACAAACTGGGATGGTCGCAGGTAAACCAGCAGCATATGTGATCACCCTACTTAAGTATTGCCTTCATAGATGAAAAATCCGGTTTTCCCACCAGAGCTGTGCCTTCCCAGCAGCTGCTACTGATGCTGCAGCCATTACCTGGTGGCTGAAGCGCATCAAATTCTGATCTCCAGCACCTCAGCCTCCACCTCCCAGCAGGGCTCCCCGAACTCCCCCGACTATTTCAGGTACCTCTTGGGAATGGGAACCCTGTGCACCGAAGGTCCTCAGGGGGTTGAAAAGGGCTGAGGATTCTTGCTCCTGCTGCCAAGACATGGGCAGAAGATGTATGCCAAGTACCCTGACTTGAAGCTTGGACTATATTTCTCTATGGTTGAGAAAGATTATTATGAGATTTCCATCACATTAAGGGTTCAAACTGGGGCTTCTCTGGTGGCTCAGTGGTAAAGAATTCGCCTGCCAGTGCAGGAGACTTGTGTTTGATCCCTGGGTGGGGAAGATCGCCTGGAGAAGGAAATGGCAACCAGCTCCCTTATTCTTGCCTGGGAAATCCCGTGGACAGAGGAGTCTGCTGCGCTACAGTCCAAGGGGTCGCAGAAGAGTTGGACATGACTGAGTGGCTAAACAATAACAAAGGCAAAGGTTGAAAGGATATTTGTGGGCTGGCCTGGGAGCGGGGCAAGGTGGACACGGAATAGAGGGCTAAGTCCATAATATCTTTGAAAAAGAGGCTCAAGATTCCAAATACCTGGCTTACAGATAAACTTCGGCAGGAAGGGAAACACCCTCGCAGTACATACAATACTAGAAGAGGCAGCGATGGGAGAATGCTGTTTGTCATCTCACTTCACTCTCTGCCCTCCTCTGTGAACTGTGGGGGCCTCGCCTCCCAGCCCCAAAACACAGAGGCAATGAGTCAACTCTCTAAGGCATCTGGAAGGTGACTAAGCATCCTTTTCCATTGCCTCTCTGCTAAAGAGATGGGCTTGTTTACTCTCAAATCTTGAGTTTCCTTTCATGTAAAATGAAGAAAGCCAGAAATATCTTGCAGGATCTTCAAATGGATTACATTCATATAATTTCCCAGGGATACTGTTGGAAGGATTTTTTTTCCTTTCCCTTGAGGAGCAAAGGCTCATTAAAAAAAATGGGGCAGGGCAAGAGAAGCCAGAAGATAAGATGGTGAAGGGATGAACAGATCCGCGTAGGGAGTTGCTAAAAGGTCTTGCAGGCCTGGCTCTGACACAAGCGGTGGAACAGTCTAGAACATCCTCGGTACTGGCTCTGATAACCGTAGACCACGCAATCCTTGGCGACTTTTTTTTGGGCACATAAAGCAGAACACAGCAAAGTAATAATGATAATAATAGTAATGCCACTTACTTTGTGCAAACGCCTCCTGTATGTCTCCCCCGACCCCCGTGAGTGAGTCCTGAGGCGTGTGGGCCGGGGTGGAGCAGGCGGACGCGGACCGCACCGGCATGGGGATGGGCCTGCTGATGGTGTGGCTAGGGGAGGATCGGGGGGAGCCTGCCCCCTGGGTCTGGAGAGACAAGGCAAGTCATTAATTTGTTTTCCCCAAGAAGATGCCAAATGCCCTTCCCAGTGCCTCTGTTAAGTGTTAAAAACCGTGACAATGGAATTCCAAAGCGGGTTGAAGTTCTAGGTCATGGAGATGGCAATGCTCAACTTGAGTTGCAGGTGCAGACAGTTTAGGACCTTACTGGACATAGTCTGAAGTTTGGGTTACAAACCGAAAGCTGAGATTATTAGTACCACATTCACTGTTCTATGTAATATATGAGATGTTTGCCCACGTAATGAAACTACCGTTAAGCAGTGATAATTTCAAGGTGTTTATTTTCTCCTTGAAGGAAGATCTATACAAAATAAAAAGACATTAGGAAAAATTTTAAATATAAACTCGAAGACTATTTGGGATGGATGTGGTGTATTGCTCTTCCTAAATTTTCAACCAGTCTGTCTTGCCATCATCTGCAGAGGATAATTTATAGTGCCCATCATGTCATGCCATATTGTGTGTATTAAGTCTCAAATTAAGACTCAAATGAGGTGTAAATTGTTTAGTCCCTACTTTACAGGAAAAGTTGACTGTTGAATTGCTTTGATTCAGGGATTAAAATGAGAAGGAGAAACATAGAAATCTTGGTTTCCAGTGTGGGGGTAATGCTTCCTATAAAAATTGTCTTCCTCTTCACCTATGAAAAAACAATATTCTAGCAGTAAGAACAATGGGATTTAAAAATGAGTGAAGAAAAAGGAGAAAACAACTTAAAATTCATTCATCTCCTCACTCCAACCCTCAGCAGGAAATCATTCCGAGACTTGTCACACCTTGAATTTCACAGGTTTGCCTCTACAATGAGGTCTCTTGGAATCATTTTCTGTTTTAATAATTAGTTTACAAAGGCAGTCAAGTCAGCACAAACATGAAAATTTAAGAAGTGCATATACAACAGATTAGATGTTCACATAAATGGCACTCCAGCTCACTGGGGCTGGCCAGGGAGAGTGAGGACTGTTTCACAGCAAGCTCCAGAAATTCATCATCACCCCATTCAAACCCCAGACATGCACCACCAGAGCAGTGCTCTGGAATATTCCATTTAGGTCTTTGCTGTGGGTTTGGCTGCTTGCAGTTAAAACACACAACATCAATCCTGTAAACTGCCATGCTGTTAGCTTTCCAGGGCTCCAGCATCACACATTAAAGTCAAATCTATAAATTGAGAAAAATCCAGAATTAAAAATGAAGCAAAACAGAAAATAACTCATGTGATGCTTGAGGTGCTGAGGATTCCACTCTTTCACTCACAACAGTACCTTGCAGTGGCCCGTGAGGCCCAGAGAAGTGAAGTTTGCCTGCTGGTGATGCTTTGCAGCCCCTTGCCCCAGACTTCTCCAGGATGGACCTGGTTTCCCCTAGTGAACTTGGGCAGCTCAAGGTCATTACGGTGATTCCTCTGCTGATGAGCTACCTGGGCACCTCCCTGCATCTCACACCAATAGGTGGTGACTTCACTTTTGAGTCATGCCTTGCCATGTATGAAAGGTTTTCACATACATTCCCACAGGTGTTTCTCCAAGCTGAAGTAGGCCCCGTTAGGCTAAATGTGCCATCATGGACCACAATGCTCAGAGAGGTGAAGAGAACTGTCCAGGAGATGGGGCTAGAGGGCCTGGGCTGGGGCCTGAGCCCAGGTGCTCTGCCTGCCCTGGGCTGTGGATGGCCTGGATGATCTATGGCTGGCGGAGGGTCCCTAAAGGAGACAGGTGTTGGTCAGTTCCTCTGAGGTCAGGAGCCTCTCCCTGGCAACCCTCCTGTGCATCCTTTCCAAGACAGGGCTCTTAGCAGGGCTCCTCACCCTTTCTCATCTGTTTTCTTTACCAAGGACCCAGATGCAGCTGGCAGGAGGGACTGGCCATGGGAAGTTGGACAGGGGTGTTAAAGGAAGAAGCCTTCTCTTGGCTATTCAGGGTGGGTTACCTTCTCTACCCTGGAAGCCACATCCTCTTCTGTGATAGGAGGTTCACAATAATAATAAAACTCCACTCTCGTATGCAATTTATAGTCTCTAGAGCATACTGGCATGCCTAGGTTTGTTTTATTCTCTCACTAATCAATGCTAGGCATGATAGTAGCTTATATCTCAATAGCCATTGATAGTCTAGAAAGAACCTTAATCCCATCTACTTCACTTAATCCTCTCAACAACCACTTGAGGTATGAGTACTCCCATTTCTCAGGTTAGCAAACTGAGGCTCAAGGTCATCCTTACCCAAGGTCTCTGAGCTAGTGAAGGACAGAGCTGCAATGGACCCCCAGCCTTTAGGCCACAAGGCTAGGGTTTTCCTACCTCACCAAAGCTACTTCTCAAGATTGCGGGCACTGTGACCAACCTTTGCACCCTTCCATTGGTGTTTCAAAACATGCTGTCACGAATGTTGAAAGGTGAGCTACCTAAAGGCTCAGAAGACGTAGGACAAGGATGTACTGGGGAGTGTGTTGGAGCAGTGGTCTAGGGCTTTCTGCTGGGCCAGGCAGTAGTACCTTCTAGTTACCGGCTCATGGAGAGCAGTGTGAGTGCCAGGGTGGCAGAAGAGCCTTTAGGCCGTTTATCAATCACTTCAGAAATACAGGCCCCCAGTCTCTTATCTGCAAATGTGAAATCCAATGGGCTACATGTGTTGTTTCATAACTGCTATGAGGCTACTTATGTGCTGTCTGCACTGTAGTGAGTCTCTAAAACCCGATTCTGAGTTCTGGAGCATCTCTGGACCCAGTGATTTTGGATTTGGGGCTGTGGGCCTGTGTTTCAGGATCTGATGGCTGTTCTGGGGCTGTAGTGCATGCCAGCCCTGCTCACACCTGTGCCCCCAGGCTCTCTACCATGCGATGCTCCCGGGGATGCTGCCACGGGGTAGCACAGGGCACCACGCCCCCTCTGGGTACCACGCTGACCTCCGCTCTCCCTGCCTAACACCATGTCTCCAAAGCCAACTTTTCCTACCCCTCTCTGCCTGTTTCCTGTCTTCAAAACTCTCGTGAGTAGTCTTGTGTTAAGAGAAAAATAACAGACTGTGGTTATGCGTTAAGGGAAAAACAACTGACTGAGTCTAAATTACACCCGTGTGTGAATGACTAACAGCTACTGTCTCCTAAATGAATCTCTAACTGGTGCAATTACAAGCAGTCTGATTGTGTGAAGAACTCAGGTGGATGATTCATTGCTGAAGAAAAGATTCAGCTGCATCTTTTCCCCAGTCATGATCAGCCTTTACCTAGACCTGGGGGCAGAATCCCAGCTCCCTGGGTTATCAGGGCCCACCTCCCTCTGTCAGGACACTGGCCAGTTCGATGCGTAATAGACCCCAGGGGCTTCGCTGGTGGCTCAGATGGTAAAGTGTCTGTCTGCAACGCGGGAGACCCGGATTTGATCCTTGGGTCAGGAAGATCCCCTGGAGAAGGGAATGGCAACCCACTCGAGTATTCCTGCCTGGAGAATTCCATGGATGGAGCCTGGCGGGCTATAGTCCATGGTATCGCGAAGAGTCGGACATGTCTGAGTGACTAACACTTTCACTTCCAGACTTACTGCTGGGGATACCATATCAGGCCTTCCTGACTGCTGTTCTTGCTGGAACACTAGGGAAGGCAGTTGCCTCTTAGCTTCGGGGTAGAAGAGTGAATACGGTACAGTTTCATTTTCACAAGTGTATCCTGTAGAGAACTGTGGCCTCTAGCCTGGTCATGAGGCATGGCCGTTGGGTAACAACTTTAGAAGAGTTAGAGTGAATAATCTCTGTGAACATCCTTTCCTGGAAATTACTCGGTGATTAATGGAGCAAAGACTTAAGGGACAATGGTCCATGTGGATCAATATATAGATTTCAAATTCCTGAGGAGAGAGTTGATTTATGGAAGAAGGAAACCATACATCATACTTGGCAAATTTAAAATAGCTCTCTTCCCAGAGAATAAATGAAAAATTCATTTCTACCCTCCATTCTCTGAGAGTCCACTCAACCTGCTGCTGTATCAATTTTTAAAAAGTCTGACAAGATCCATAACTTTTCTGATTTTTTTTTTCCAGGAAGGATTTGGGTTTCCCCTCCATCCCAGAAAGGAAGGAGGCATCAGGGGAAGTGCCAAGTGTCGCTTTGTGGAACCAGAACCATCTGGAGGAATGGGAGAGCGGATGGTCCAGAGACAAGGGGAGGTGGTACTGTGGACTGTCCCCCACCCAGGTCACCCACTCCCCGAAAGTCAGCCTCTCAGGTTTGGTGGAGAATGCAGTGCAGTCAGGCCTGCCTGATTTTACGTGGCCGCCTGTTTAGTGACATTCAACCCTCTTCTCACCCTTTCTTCCAAACCACCCTGATTATCATCACAGGGCTTCACGTGGAGATGCAGATGAGTTGCCTAATTCTGACTGGCCAGACAGGAAGAACCACGTGCCTTGCATCTTACAGCAGAGATTTCCAGGCAGAAAAGAGGAAGTACTGTGGGAGACAGAAGAGCATTCCAGGGCTTGGAGTATCAGGGGGAAAAAGGCTTGGGGAATCTGAGGGGTACTGCAGACATGCTGGGAGGCCTGTGGGGTTGATACACCAGGCTCGCGGTGAGGCGTGGTACAGATGAAGCTGGAAAGAGTTGGAGCCAGGTGTGGGGGCCTCCGGTGTCCCTCAAGGGGCTCAGCCTTCATCCTGAACTAGAGGACCATTTTGTAAGGCTTTTTAAGCAGACAGGCAATTTTTACTTTTCAAGAATTAGTTAACAATTCCTAATTTAAAAGCAGTGTGAGAGAGAGGAGGAGGAAGAGGACAGAGACAGAGAGAAGAGGCGAGTAGAGAGAGAGAGGCTGGGGAGGTACGTTTTTGAGCACAGGTTTCAGTCTTAATATTACAGTTGCTTATTTCTGATGGGAACCAGCCCCACCCGTATTCATTTTTGATCACTTCACTACTCCATAGGCTACCCACCAGAGAGGACAAGCAGGGGACATGATGGAAGGTGAACCTAAACTGGTAAAATCTATTATTTCTGACCTGTGCATATTTCACAACATGATTGGAAGAGGCAGGAACCTAAGTGACCATGATTTCCCCAGTGAATTGGGCCATTCTGTTGTAAACAGAGAATACAGTGGAGCAGGAGATGGAACTGGGAATGATGTGTGACTTTCTTCTCCTGATTGAGACACTGTTAGCTAATGTGAGAAAGACTATAAGTGTGTATGTGTGCGTGTATGTGTGTGCGCGCATGTATGTGTATGTGCATGTGTGTGTGCATGTGTGTGTGTGCGTATGTGTATGTGCGTGTGTGTATGTGCGTGTGTGTATGTGTATGTGCATGTGTGGGTCTGTGCGTGTGTGTAAAATGTGGGTAAAATTAGAAAAGCCTATATATTCTGACATATATGTGTACACATACATACCTGCATACATTTATCCTTATATCTGACATGCACAGAGCATTTTACAAAGTGCTTTTATATCCATTATCTTTTTAAATCTCTACAACAACCCAGAGAGCCATGTATTACCAGTATGTTTGAGATAAATTGCTAGGAAGTTCATTGACTTACTCAAGATCTTAGAGCTGTGAGTAAGGAACTGGAACCACCATAACTCAGGGCTAACTCCAGTAATCTTTCTAAGAAAATTATTATTGAGATCCTACTTTCTGAACTCAAAGTCAGGATACTTGATTGTAGACCAGGTCATGGTATTTGACACTGGAAAGATACTAGAAACTCGGGAACATACCGTCACTGCTATTGTATCCCAGCCGCCTTCATTATTAAAACTTTTTATGAGTGTTCTTTTTATGGTTCCTTCAATAAATCTTAAAAATACACAAAGAAGAAAGAGGGTAGGATAATTTCGACTCAAGTTTGTAAAAAAATTTATTGCTTATGAGACCATAATCATCATCATATTATATTACAGGCACTATTTCTTTTTTAAAAAAATTCATGTTCTCTCCTCAAGGGGAATAAATTCATGCATTACCTCGAACAAGAAACAGTATAAGTAGGAATTATATATACCAGTATAATAAAATACATTGAACCACACAGACTTATGATAAAGCAAGTAGAGGTTATTAAATCAAGCACAATTTGTTGTGTGTGGTGTCTTAAATCTGATTTTACAAAGAGACTGTCCCCAGAGGGGAAAGGCTCATAAATAAAAACAGAATTTAGAAGCAGACGCCAGACTAAAACTTCTAAATTCTCTCCTTAGATCATGTTATACTATGATAAGTCTATAAATTCAGATGGCGTTTGTTTATTTCCTTGTAGAACTGCCTCTGCAGGATTGGGACATATGGGGTTCTGTCTTTAATTTTGACTGAAGGTCAGTATAAGAATCAGCCACATGAAATCTACTACTGCATGTGTCTGCTTTATTATTCACTCCTCCTCTAGTAAAGCTCGAGTGAAATTTCCTTTTTATATTTTATGCCAACAGAAATTTTTGTCCCTTGAGGACTGACATTTCTGTTCTGATAAAACCACCAATTATGTTTTCCCTTTTTTGCCTCATTGCTAGGAAGCTCAGAGTAACACCCCTGTCCCTTAAGATAAGCATATTTGCGTTTTCTTTAGTGTTTGATTTTTCTATTTCTATTTTATGAAGTCATTGTTTATGTCTTTAGTTAGTTGTAAGCTGCCTGGGGTCCTTTTGGAAAAGAGGCTTGACTATAAGCAAAGGCATGAGTAAGACTGCAGACTCCACTGACCCAGACAATGCATTGCTGACATCTCTGGGTGTTGCTAATAGTGGTCCTTAACAACCTAGGCAGCGATAACCACTGCTGGCTGACTTTCAGTGATGCTGCAGCTGTCGAGGACTCAGCGGGGGAGGAACTGGAGAAGCAGGCAGTAATGCAGTAATGGACGCTGCCATGGTTTGGCTCTATGCATCCATCTGTTTATGAACATCCTGGTCCACTGAACCTTTCAAGAATGCGTTGCCTTGGAAATGGAAGAGAGAAGGTCCCCAAGGGACAATGGCTAAAGCCAGGCTGACTGACTGCAGGATGGTTACCCTCTGCCTCCACTAGGAGGAGTAAGGTTATAGTTGAGCTTTCTTTCTGTTTTCTATGCACATCTTGAGTAAGAGACAGGAAAGAAAAGAGGCTGTTTGCAGAAAAGGACCATGAGATGGCATTTTTCTTTACCATGATCTAAGTGTTTCGTATGTACAATAGCAACACCCCAGGTATGAATTTATGGGCAATTATACACGCAGCAAATATGTGTCCTTTCCCCAGGGGGGCTGTCTCTCATTAAAATTTGACTTCAGTTTAGTGAAGTAACTTTGTTCACAAAATACAAATAATGTGATACATTGTCTTTATTGTCTGACATTACAGATTCGTTTTACACTTCCCTTTTTTTTTTTTACAGACCATGGGAATGAAGGGTAAAAATGTGTCCAGCATTTTGCAAACATTCTTTGTTACACACAAACACACACAATGAATAGAAAGAGAATACAGAAGAATGAAAGGGTACGTTGAAATCAGACAGGCTGTGGTTGTCATGGATCCATGGAAATAATGTCAAACTTTTTGATAAGACCGGCAGGTGGGGTATATTGTCATACACAGCTCGGTACATGCACTGGAAATAAAAGCTGCTTTTATTTTGCTTTTGTTTTATTCTTATTGTATTTTGAGTACGTTGCTCCCTCTGCTGGCTTCTGCACCAGGCCACGTGGTCAGACAGAGGGCTTCAGTTCAGCTACAGAGAGCCACAGGGTTCCTATATCCAGGGAAGATGTATGTAACCCCTTGTGAACTCCCAGAGCAGAAAGGTGCTTGGTGATAAGAGAAAGGCTGAAAGTTACCTATTCTTTGGAGATGGTCGTCAACCAATGGTAGGTATATTCTAGTCTGAGAAGTGAACAGTTAGAGTCCAGTCTTTCTCTTATTAGATGGAACACTTAATGGTGAGCAGTGGGGAACAGGGCTTAGTAATTAGGCAATGAGAGGAGATGTAATTGGCTGATTTTTACAAAAAGAAGTTCCACACCTTTTCAGTAAAATGGAAACTGAACTGAACATTCACAGTATGAGAGGATGTCGAGGTTAGCTTCTGAATGCTAACTGAGGTAGAACCTCAGTGGGTTCTACCTAACGGAACATTAGTAATTGTGGTGAGTGTCTTTCTATTAAGAGAAGGGTCTGATCCATGACCCAGAAAAAGCATGAGACTGGTTTGAAACTTAGACCCTGGAGATCTAAGAAGTTTCCAACAAATTAAATGTGTTCCCTGTTCTAAAAGATGTAATAGCTCTTCTTTTGATGTTGATGGTAGTTGTAGTTATAAAAAATGCTAAATTTTATGTGTCTCAATTCAAGCACTACATTGAAAAGGAAGCAAATTAGTATAATTTTTTTTTCTCTTTCCAAACTTAAGCATGAACGTACATTAGAGGCAAAAGCAATGAGAAAAACAGCAGGACGGCAGGCCCCTCCACTGTTAGTTAAGACCTGCAGTAGGGCACATAACTTACTCCCTGCTTCAATTCTTCTTCCTACAGAAAGATTGAATCAATAATGGTTAGGTTACCCAGGGTTCCAATAGGAGCATGTACACAGTGTGAAGGAATAAAGGTGGGGGAAACCAAGCCTCTTCTACCTTGGTTACTTAGAGTTCCAAGTCTATTTAGGTATTGGAAACTATGGACCTGTCTCTTTCCTCCATGTGTCCAACCATCTTTCAACATGATTTCTCTCTTTATCCCCCTGATAAAATAGACTACGCTCAGTTAGGCTACAGTGATGCCAAGATGGCAAGTGGTAAACAGACTCCTCTCCCATTGCTACAGTGATGGAAGCATAGAAATAGAACCAGAGGGCTGTTTTCTGTTTTCTGTCATTCGTTGAAGGGAAAGATGGGGCAGGCCCACTTTATTTGGTATATTTGGAGGAAAAAAAACAGAAAGAGCTTGTCTGGATCATCAAATGAGATGATAGGGCAGAAATAGCAAGAGGTTATTAATTATCTAGTCCTGTCTTAACATGGGCTTCCTTGGTGGCTCAGATGGCAAAGAATCTGCCTGCAATGCAGGAGACCCAGGTTTGATCCCTGGTTCAGGAAGATCCCCTGGAGAAGGGAATGGCAACCCCCGCTAGTATTCTTGCCTGGAGAATTCCATGGACAGAGGATAGATAGTACAACAAAAATGGAATTTTATACTTTATATGTCTGATACAATGAAAAGTAAATTTTGTTCAGTAAAGATAAAGCATTTCCGATACTGATGGCAGGAAAAGTCGACTACAGGAATAAAGAATAAAGAAAAGAAAAGAAAAAAAAAAGTGTTACATTTACATCAGTGCCTGGGACACAGTAGGTTTCAACAAATATCTGTTAACTGTTTTTTAAGTCTTGAAATTAAAAAATAAATACATAAAAGAAATGAAAGGAGAGAGAAAGAAAAGTAAGAAAGGGAAAGGGAAGAAAAGAAGGGAAAGGAAAGGGAAGAAAGAAAGAAAAAGAAAGAAAGAAAGAAAAAGAAAGAAAAAAAACAATACAGAAACAGTAAATGATGGGGTGTCAGGGATATAGGGGAGCCATAGACTGAAAGACAGGACATCTTGTCTTGCAAGTGAGCTGTCTGTCCCAGAGACTTTGTCTGTGTAACTCTAACATAAGCTTTAGTTCCTGCCTTTGGCATGTCACTGGTTCATGCTTGTTTACATCAGGCAGGAGGGCCACAGAGCACTGAAATGTCCGCTGGGGCGATCAGGGACATGTGGCCATATGAGTCTCCTTTCGAGTTGAAATGCAACTTTGTGCACACTGACGAAGGGACTGAGATTTATGAGAGAAAGAATGCCACTTCCCAATGAGAATTATTATTATAACACCCTGCAGATGATCTTATTACATGCTCCACTTGTAAAAAAAGTGAAGGAGATATTCCCATTTACGCTTTGCATTTGAAACCCAGAGAAATTATGTGACTTGCTGCTAAAGCCACACAGATTTTATAACATTTACTGTAATGAAAAAAAGTTACTCCTCTTAATAAAACCATAATCACCAAAATTATTTAATGTCTGTATCTTCATTTTCTGAATTAGATATGAGTTTCTGTTCAGTTTAGTCAGAATGGCTGCAGGCCATGAAATGTAAAATATTTTTGAATAAATTCAGTTTTAGTAAGATTACTTCCAAGGACAAAAGGAACTGGAAATGAGCCAACTGGAAATAACTTACGCCTTGAAGGTCCTTAGTAGTCTGCTTCTAGGAAATAGATAAGAATGAGCCCTACAATTGATGTTATCATTTGATGTGTCTAAGAAAAGATACTAAAACTGAGTTTGAAACCACTTTTTTGGGGAGGAAATCGCATATATAGTAATTGGAAAAACCATTGCACATTAGGTGCAAATTTTAAAATTTATTTTATTTATTAAAAAAATTTTTTTTACAAAGGCCATAGTTGTAGGTCTAGGAAATAGCTATGTGAAACATCTTACCTTTAGTAGTTTCATGAGACCTTCTAACTGGACCATTAGCTCTCTCCGGCTCTCCTGGAGGGCGGACATTCTCTGCTCCAGCTCGTCCTTGCGCTGCCTAAGAAAGAGGTAGTAGTTGTCGTTAGAAACAGCACTCAACTCACTGAGCTAACCACATTTCCCAGTCTTGGGGCAGTGGAGGACCACTAGAAAAAGGGCATCTCTGGGTCTCTGACATGGTTACCTGGCAGGAAAAAGTCAAATGAATGAACAATTACAGCTTCTTAGTCATTTACTCATTTGGGACTCCATGGACTGTAGCCTGCCAGGCTCCTCTGTCCTTGGAATTCTCCAGGCAAGAATGCTGGAGTGGGTAGCCATTCCCTTCTCCAGAGAACCTTCCTGACCCAAGGACTGCATCCGAGTCTCTTGGAGAAGGAAATGGCAACCCACTCCAGTATTCTTGCCTGGAGAATCCCATGGACAGAGGAGCCTGGCGGGCTGCAGTCCACGGGGTTCCAAAGGGTCACCACGACTGAGTGACTATAACTCACTCACTCCTGCATTGCAGGCAGATTCTTTACCTTTTGAGATACCAGAGCAGCCAGGTATATGTTTATAAAAGTCATAGTAAAACAAAATTAAAATCTTATTGGATTTTAATTTGAATTACTGGAAAATAAAATATTTCTGAATGCTTATTATGTCATGGACACTGTGCTGGGCCACTGGGTCCTCAGATCAGAAACCAAACTGCCACTGAAATAGGCCAAACCCACAGATCCTCCAAGCCCAAGGACCCTTGTAAATCTCACAGAAAATACTGATTACTTTAGTGTCCGGAAATCAGATTTAGAAAAGTAAATTTTTCATCTGTTCAGTTCTTAGGATGCAATATGGTGCCTTTCAGAGGAGAACTTTTCCTTGTACATAGTTTTAGAGTCGATCTAAATTTTCTGCTTTGGGTTTGGCTGCTTAGAGTGAAGTCAGAAAAAAGGAGTTCCTACACAACTGTTGTAATAATCTACAAGGTTTGTGTTTGCTTAACCTTGTTTTGCAAAACTTCTATCAGCTGTCAACAAGAATGAAAACCAGGAAGGACACAAATACTAAGGATCCACATTTCTGAAGTATAGTTTCCAAATCTATTTCAAGCTCTTTTTTCATGACTGTTAGTGAAAAAAAAATGATGTATACAATTTATTCCTTGCCCCAAGGGCTTCTAATTCGGAAATGTTGGAAATTATATTTTTAAAAATATGTGGATGACTTAACCATAAATGTGTTAATGTATGAATGGACATGTCTAGCCTCAATGATACAGGCATAATATTAAGTGGAGCTTATAGCAGGGACTCTGAAATGAAAAACGGACAACATAAAACTGTCACACTGCGTTAGGTCAGTGACTCATCCAGTTGAAAGATATTTTGTGGGAGGACAGGTGATGGATATAAATGAGACATTTCTAATTTGCTTTCATATAGGCTTTCACTATCAAGATTTATGAATTCAAAATTTATAAACATGTCATTTTTTAAATATATTTATATTTTTGGCTTTTGTTGCTACTTAAAGTTTATTTTGAGAGCAATCCTTCTGTTGATTTTCTTTACAATTGCCCCTTTTCTGAATCTTCAGGATAAGGAACACCATAATTTTATAGACCTTATAAATGGTATCCTATTTTAGTCTTTTGTCTTGCTGATCTGTAGACTTCTAATTCTGAAAAAGTCTTGCCCAATTCAACAATATTCTTCAGTGACAACTCCATTAGCTGTTTTTTCCTTTGACCTTGTCTGCACATGGTGTTCCAGCCATATCCTCGGTAGGGCTTGGCAGAAGAGTAGATAATGTTTCTGATTTATTTCCAGTTCTCTTCTAGATGCTGTTTTGTAATTTTTGGCCTTTTGAGAGCTAAAGGCCAAAATCACTTTGAGAGGAAGGTTAAAGCAAACTCTTAAAATTATAGATGAGAAATATTAAAAGAAGCATCTAAAAACCATCAGAAAAAATTAACTTATAGTAATATATAATTAATCCACATTGAAATAGCCTTATTTGTATTTATCTTAAGTAGTACTCTTTCAAAACATGACATTTACTCTTTCATGCATTGGATTGAAATAAATGTTTTTTAAAAAATTTATTTAATAATGTCTTCTCTGTGTTTACACCAATGGTTACCAAATGTGGGTTTGATAACAAGAGTGTGGTGCAGCCTCCAGTGTTCCAAGGAAAACTGAGAAAACCTGGACTAAATAGTGATTTTATTTTCATAGAGCTAAATACATTCATCTCTAAAAAAATGCCTTTTATTCTGATATTCTGTCAGATTATTTTTAATTTTGTGTGTGTTAAAACCCACTTTCTTTAGGACAGTGTTGGGATGATAGCCAAAATTTTAATACGTACTGTATATTGCTTAGTCGCTCAGTTGTTTCTGACTCTTTGGACTGTATGACCCCATGGAATGTAGCCCACCAGGCACCTCTGTCCATGGGGTTCTCCGGGCAAGAATACTGGAGTGGGTTGCCATACCCTCTTCTAGGGGATCTTCCCAACCCAGAGATTGAACCCAGGTCTCCCACATGGCAGGTGGATTCTTTACCATCTGAGCCACCAGGGAAGGCTTAACTGTATATTATTAATAGATAATAATAATAAATATCAATATTAACTTTTCTGAGTTTGATGATGATACCATAGTTACAGAAGAGAATGTCTTTCTTTCTTAGAAAATATATACTTAAGTATTTAGGGGTAAAGGGTTTTGATGTGTGCAATTGACTCTCAAACAGCTCATCAAAAATGTGTGTGTAGTTTACATATGTAAACATATATAGGGAGATAGAGGAGAGTGCGACAAAATGTTTGCAATCTCTAGGTGAAGCGTAGAAGGGAAATTTACTGTGATATTCTTAAAACTCTTCTGTAGGAGTAAAGCATTTTTCAAAATAAAAAGTTAAAAAATATACTGCATTCATGAAACATGGTAACAGGTGATGGTAGCTTAAAGATGTCATTATAGGGACTTTCCTGGTGGTCCAGCGATGAAGAATCTGCCAGCCAATGCAAGGGACACGAGTTTGATCCCTGGTCCAGGAAGATCCCACCTGCCATGGAGAAATGCAATCCTGGACCACAACTGCTGAGCCTACGCTCTAGAGCCTGTGCTCTGCACAAGGGTAGCCACAGCAACCAGAAGCCCATGCACTGCAGCGAAGAGTAGTTCTTGCTTGCTGCAAACACAGAAGCTGTGTGCTGCAGCTAAAACCTAGTACAGCCAAACAAAATGGTTACATGGTGAAACAAAAAGTACTTAACTTTATGTTGTTTCCCCCCACCCAAAAAAAAAAAAATTAAGCTGGTCTAATGCAATTCAAGTCTGGAAACCACAGACCTGCATCAGAGATTATAATTCCACAAAAAATTTCTTTATACTAATAAGTTTTCTTAAAGAATAATCTCATATACCTTAAAAAGAATGCAACTTTGGGGTATATAATATGCTTATTTTTTTAGACAAGAGATAAATATGAAAATTTATAATTGTTTTTCTTCACATTTGTACTGTGAAGAAAATCTGCTTTACAGTTTACTAGTTTCTTCTTTGTAGAAGATGGTATTGTCTTTGCAAATACAGTTCTTTAGCTGTCTCTTAATGGTTTTGCAGTGGGAAGGCTCACTAGATCACCTTGCAAACTTTCCCTCAGATTCACCATCCAATATGGGAAGGAAAGACCTGGGGAACCACATGGAATGCTGCCATCAGCTTCATTTGTGCCTCTTGATTGCCTGTATTCTAAAAATTAATATCAGGATAAGATCTTTGACTCATGTGAACCTGACTTGCCAAACTAATCCACTGTGTTAACTCGATACGTAACTCTCATCCTCCAATGGCTTCCTGTCGTAGGATTGATAGCAATTTCCTCAAGATGGTCTGCATGGCCACACAGCATCACAGTCCACACCCACCTACATGTACAGCTCCGACTCTTACCATGTACCCGTTCACTCACTGCATTCTAGGTCAACAAAACTTTCACTTCCAAAAAAGGTACCAGATTTGCTCCTGCTATTTGGTGTTTGCACATAGAGCATCTATCTACCAGTAAACCCTTTCACCAGCTATTTCCAGCTCCCTCCCCTGTCCATAATCCCCATTCCCCACGTATTCATCTTCAATGCTTCAACTCAAACAGTCCTTCCTCATGGTAACTTCTGACTGATGTAGCAGGCTTGCTAATTATGTCTGTTTGTTTTTTAAAGGAAGATTCTTTATAGAACTTATCACAGTTAATAATCACACTCTTCTTTGTGTATCTATTTGATTTATGTCATTTTCCTACCTGACCACAAATTCTGTGAGACCAGGAACAATATCTTTTTCAACTCAGTTCTGGGCACACTGCATTTTAGAAATAATTGTTAAATTGAACTAACTGAATAATCAAATGATAGCAGTGTATATTGTCCAGAGGCTGGGAATCAAGTAAATGCTTATTATAATAGTCTAGGCAGGAGATAATTACGACCAAGGAAAGGAGAGGCTTCCCAGGTGACACTACTGGTAAAGAACCCCCCTGCCAATGCAGGAGACTTAAGAGATGGGGTTTGATCTCTGAGTCAGGAAGATCCCCTGGAGGAGGGCATGGCAACCCACTCCAGTATTCTTGCCTGGAGAATCCCATGGACAGAGGAGCCTGGCGGGCTACAGTCCATAGGGTCACAAAGAGTTGGACATGACTGAGCACGCTCGTACACAAGGAAAGGAGAGAGAATCGACCTGTGAGGCTCACTGTGCAGGATCTTGGGCAAGTTATTTCACTTCTGTGAACCTCAGTTTCTTTATAGAAAGACTATAGTCATAAGGGGCTTCACTGGTGGCTCAGATGGTAAGGAATCTGCCTGCAATGTGGGAGACCCAGGTTCGATCCTTGGGTCAGGAAGACCTCTGGAGGAGGAAATGGCAACCCACTCTAGTATTCTTGCCTGGTGAATCCCATGAACAGAGGAGGCTGGGGGTTATAGTCCGTGGGGTCACAAAGAGTCAGACATGACTGAGGGACTAACCCTTTCCTTTCCCTATAATAATAATGGCCATCTTCCAGGTTTTTACAGCAACTGTATGAAACAGTGTTAGGTAGAGCTTAGTGCATAGGAAGCATCTATGAAATGCCTGTCCTATAATGCTATTCAGTTGCCATATCTGGGTTGTAAACTTGGCTTTCAGCATTGTCATGGCTAAAGTAAAACGGGGAATGTGATCATTTAGAAAGGTTGTGATGCCCTTAAGATAAAAATAAACTATGTGTTCATGAAAAGCAAAGCACTGATCTTGCTGCCCTCATTTCCCTCGTAAAGAAATTTCTCCTGTTGACTTCTCAATAAGAGGCCCAGAAAAGATGTAATAGATGGAGGAGACCTCTGTCAAAGCTACAGAAAGGAGTTCCTTTGGCGGCTTCACACGGTCACCCCTCAGTGTGAACTCAAGGCCAAAGTAACTGGCAAGAGCTCACTGTTTTGGAACTCTTGAAAAGTCTGAAATGACTAAAGGATAAAACACCCAGAGCAGGGTTTCTGGGTATTTGTGAAACTTCCAAATTGTTAAAGTGCTTAGCATAGTATAAGTGGCTCATCAGTATCCAGAGAAATATGCTTCAAGGGAGGGTATTTATCCCATGCAGAAGAAATGTGGAGAATATGGAATACCTGCTAAGTCACTCCAGTTGAGTCCGACTCTTTTGCGACCCCTTGGACTGTAGCCTGCCAAGCTCCTCTGTCCATGGGATTTCCCAGGCAGGAATACTGGGGTGGGTTGCCATTTCCTCTTCTAGGGAATTTCTGGACCCAGGGATTGAACCCAGGTCTCCTGTGTCTTCTGCATTGGCAGGCAGATTCTTTACCACTGAGCCACCTGGGAAGCCCGGCACACAACCTGCATGAATGCATGCTAAGTTGCTTCAGTTGTGTCCAATGCTTTGTGACCCTATGAACTATAGCTCGCTGGGCTCCTCTGTCCATGGGATTCTCCAAGCAAGAATACTGGAGTGGCTAACCATGCCCTCCTCCACAGCATCTTCCCGGCCCAGGGACTGAACTTGTGTCTCCTGCATTGACTGGTAGGTTCTTTCCCACTAGCACCACCTGGGAAGCCTGGAGAATATGGAGGCAGGCAAGCAAATCAGCTAGGATGTAGGTGTCTCAGATCTCAAGCTGGATGTGTGGGCCACCCTCTGATGGTGATGGCCAAAAGTCTAGAAGCTCCCCACAGAGCCAGATTCCTTAGTATAGCTTTAAACTCATCTAGGGTCATGAGAGTGATTTCCAGGTGGCGCTAGTGGTAAAGAACCTGCCTGCCAATGCAGGAGATGTAAGAGACACAAATTTGATCCCTAGGTTGGGATGATCCCATGGAGGAGGGCAGGGCAACCCATTCCAGTATTCTTGCCTGGTGAATCCCCAATGGACAGAGGAGCCTGGCAAAGAGTCAGACATGACTGAAGCGACTTAGCATGCACGCATGTAGTAGACTCATCTTTCTTTACTTGTGAGTCTGGAGGGCTGACATAATCCTATTTGGCAAAATATGCTGCTTTCAAGCAGTGATTTACTTTCATAAGTCCTTGAGGAGGAGGAGGATGTAAAACATTCTTTTCATTTTCATCCCTTCTGGGTGATGCTGTAGCAGAACATGCAAGAATTGCTAAAACATCTCTCTGAAGGAAGGATCAGACATCACATATATTGAAAAGGAAGACTTTATATTTCTTCCATTAAATTATTTCGTTCTTCTAAAGTATGATATGATCTCTGCACATCCAGAAGCCTCTACAAGCTGCAAGCTCTACAGATCCCCTTCCCATAACTCAGGCCTCTGGTGGGTCTGCCCCTCCAGCCAGGTGTGAGCCTGGGGAGACTAGATCCCACCTGAGAGGCTGGGCCTGCTTCCCGGGCCAGGTATGCTGAGTGCTCAGATGTGAATATGTCCATAGAGCTGGGTTAGAGTAGAGCCCCTAGAAAGAGCCATACAATCAACTGGGACTTGGTAAAATACAAATACAGGCATACAGAATGTGCTAAATTTAGTCTCCTTGTAAGGAGGAAGTTAAAGTGTTAGTCGCTCAGTTAGGTCTGACTCTGTGGCTCCATGGACTGTAGCCCATGAGGCTCCTCTGTCCATAAGTTTCCCAGGCAAGAATACTGGAGTGGGTAGCCATTTCCTTCTCCAGGGGTTCTTCCCAACCCAGAGATTGAACCCAGGTCTCCTAAGTTGTAGGCAGATTCTTTACTGTCTGAGCCACTGGAGCGAGCAAGTGGTGGTCTAATTCTGACAAGGGTTTCTGAGCAGGGGCATCTGTACTTATAAAAAGTATGCCTTGGAGTTAGATATACCTGAAATACACTTGACATCCAAACTGAAAGATGGAAAGAATGTTATCCTTGCTGACTATGATTGCCTTGTGAAATATGACCTTTCCACTAGGGAGTATCTTTGGGTTTGTGTTTGCGTTGTTTTCCACACAGACAGGCTTGGGGCAGTGCCATATTCAAGGCATGTTGGTAGGTCTGAAGCAGAGCCCCTGGTCTGACTCTCCTTTTGCACGTGCTCACAGTCCTCAGCCACGTCCTGCTACTCTCTACAGTCTGAGGCTGAGAAGTACCCTGAAATTCAGGGGTGGAACCAAATGACCTTCTTTGGTCCTTTCCAACAATATTTCATGATGACCAACTAGGTAACACCCGGCCTTTAAATTCATTTGCAGAACAAGAAGGTGTGAAGATCTATATAGAAAACTCCTAGGGACCAAGACTTGGAGAAAATTTATGGGTCACAGATAAATTTTTAAATTTAAAAAGTAATGATTATTTAGTTGCTTACATGTTTGTTTTGTTGATCCCTTTTTATCATAAACATATTGTTGATAGCACAAATAACTAAAAAGAGTGGAGTTCCAATTTGTTTCCAGTGAGACAGATACAGAGAACAAACTAGTGGTTACCAGAAAGGAGAGAGAAGTGGGGGATGGGTGACATAGGGCTCGGCATTAATAGTTACAAACTATTATGTATAAAATAACCTGCAAGGATATATTGTACAACATGGGGAATACAGCCAATATTTTATAAAATCCATAAATGAAGTATGGGGTTTCCCTGGTGGCTCAGACAGTAAAGAATCCATCTGCAATGTGGGAGACCCAGGTTTGATCCCTGGGTTGGGAAGATCCCTTGCAGAAGGAAATGGCTATCCACTCCAGTATTCCTGCCTGGAGAATTCCATGAACAAAGGAGCCTGGAGGGCTACAGTCCATGGGGTCACAGAGTCTGACGTGACTGAGCAACGAAACACACAGAGCACAGCTTCCATAATATCACATAATAACTTACATCAGCTATGCTTTAATAAAAAAAAAGTGCACTATAAATTTTTTTTTCCAGTGAAACATTTGGTTTTGGATCTGAAGAACCCTGTGTCCTTTTCTCTGAGTCAAAGAAAAAATTAAAATGTAAATATAAAGGAGATCAGTCCTGGGTGTTCATTGGAAGGACTGATGTTGAAGCTGAAACTCTAATATGTTGGCCACCTGATGCAAAGAGCTGATGAATTGGAAAAGACCCTGATGCTGAGAAAGATTGAGGGCAGGAAGAGAAGGGGACGACAGAGGATGAAATGGTTGGATGGCATCACCAACTCGATGGACATGAGTTTGGGTAGACTCTGGGAGTTGGTGATGGACAGGGAGGCCTGATGTGCTGAGGTTCATGGGGTCGCAAAGAGTCGGATATGACTGAGCGACTGAACTGAACTGAACTGAAATAGCCTCTTTCCCTAAACCCCTAAAACTCAGCAATTAGATGTGTGCTATTAAAATAAAAGCAAACAGACATTGGCAGCTGAGGTGGCTGACGACCATTTTCCGGTAGACACTGTCAGATGGTATGGACGATCTCAAACACTGCCCTTCCTGAGACACTTTGGGCTCTTTTTCTTACCTGAGGAGCCGCAGCTCTGCCAGCAGAGTGGGGTTCTGCTGTGCCTTCTCCGGCGTGGGCTGAGAAGCTTGTTCATGCTCTAGCCGCAGCCTCTGGATCTCCTGTAGGATTTCTCTTGGGAGAGAGGAGGAAGGAGAGAAACCCGGGTCAGTTAACTTCCAGGATATCCAGGATCTAACATATGAACTGATCAGGGCCACCAGAGCAAAGAAAGAAAGGGGTCGTCCTATGTGTTGGAGCAAAACCTATCCTCATGAACTGATGGTATTTATGAGGTGTTGGCTGTAGCTAAGTTGTGTTAGGGAACTGTTGACTGAAATTGTCTGCAGTGGTCAGGCATGGTGATAACTGATGATAACTGCTTGCTTGAGTTGTCTCACAACAGAGCTTCAAATAAGGAATGTGTGATACTGCTGCTGCCAAAAACTAACTGGGAGAATCTAGGAGGGACCAAAGGAGGGTTGAGATGACTAACCTCCCAGAATCCTTTACACCGGAATCCATCTTGGCTGAGAGATGCGCTTACCACCAGGAAGGACCCTGAGTGTGAGTCGCTTAGTCATGTCTGACTCTTTGTGACTCCATGGACTGTAACCCGCCTCCCCCTCCCAGGCTCTTCTGTCCATGGAATTCTCCAGGCAAGAATACTGGAGTGGGTGGCCATGCCCTTCTCCAAGGAAGGACCCTGAGTCAGACAAAATATGGGCCAAGCAAGATGACTGGCCAGAGACAACCTGGAACCTAACCCCAATTACCATAAAACCTGAGACTGAATCAGGAGGCAGAGCAGTCCTCCTGTGTTCCTGCGTGCTGCTCGTCCCCTGGGGCATCCTTCCCAAAGAAATCTTTTGCTTTGTTAGCACATGCGTCTCCTTGGACAATTCATTTCCCAGTGTTAGACAAGAGCCCACTCTCAGGCCCTGGAAGGGGTCCCTCTTCCTGCAACAGTTGAGTGCTGTGGATGAGGGATACTGCCTTCATCTCCAGTACATCCTAGGACTCAGGAAGGTCTGAGTGTATCATTGGAGCCTTCAAGCTGATTGCTCTCCCCAGGACTGCATCTCTCTAGTCAGTAATATAATGCTGCAGTAAAGTGTTCAACTTTGCAAAGCGCACTGCTTAAGAGACGAAAATGAATCTTCCTCTTATTTATGATCTCAGTTTGACACCTTAAACTACCTGAAGATACCAAGTAAGAGATGCTTGGAAGGAAAATAAGGATAAATGGCATTCATTTTATGAAACTAAATAACCCCATTCTCACACCAGGAATGAAATTCTTCTCACTGAATTTATCTGAAAAGCCCCCAGTTAGGCAAAATTCTTTCTCTTTTCTTAACATTTTCAACCTTAACAATGGATCTCAATGAGGGTAGCCTTAAGAAGGAAAGTGCCTTTAAAAGGATTCATCGTAATTGAGTCAGTGACCTAAGAGTGCTATTGGTGTGACCTCAAGTCAGGGGTGAGACGTGTCCGTCTATTATTAATGTTGGGGCCTGGGCTGCCCTGCATTGAGGTGAACGTTAGGCCAGCCATAAAGGATAGGTGACCAGCGCAAAGCAAATTATCCCTAAGTGAGTCAGACGCTGTTAGACAAGGTTACAAGTCATGGATTCTTGGGGGAGGGGTCAGCCTCCCATCCAGGAAAATGCAGAAGAGACAGTAAGACAGAACAAAGCACCAAGAACGAGAATGGAAGATGAACTTGGAGAGCAAGGGGCTGGGTGACTTTCCATCTGAAAGGCTGATTTACAATCTCCTGCTCCACAAACACGCCAGCATCAAGAAGCTAATAACGAGTCAGTCACTGTCCCTCTCGTGGGTATGGACCATAATTCAGTGGTTTTCAACTTTTTTTTTGCTCCCCCTTGGTGTTTCAAGGTGGAAATTTTTCTTTAAAAGAATCTTCCATGGAAACCCAACATATCAGACAACTAAGAAGAAACTTCTCTGGTTAAAGAAGGGGAGTGCCTTGTATTACTGGCTCTTCCACCTTGCTCTTTGTGCGTGCAGTTGCTTCAGTTGTGTCTGACTCTGTGTTATCCTATGGACTGTGGCCTGCCAGGCTCCTCTGTTTATGGGATTCTCCAGGCAAGAAGATTGGAGTGGTGGCCATGCCTTCCTCCAGGGGATCTTCCCCAGCCAGGGATCAAACTGGCATCTCTTTCGACTCTTGCTTGGCAGGTGGGTTCTTTACCACTAGCGCCACCTGGGATGCCCCTCCTTCCTCTTCATGCACCCCTACAGGGACCCCTGGGGTCCCAGAGAGCTCAGCCTGAAAATCAGTGAACTGAGATTTCCAAGCTCCTCAGGGTTAACCTCCTGACATTCTGTGACTTCCACTAGTTCTCCTTGTTGATTCTGAGGATAGAACCATAACAGAACCATTTTGCCCCAGAGAAGGAAAATAGAGAAGCAGCTCTAGCAGAAAAAAATAATGATAAGATAGGCAAGGAGCATGAAGTGCTTAGACTATACCTGGGAACTGCGTTGTCATCTTGTTTTCGTGTGTGCTCAGTCACTAAGTAGTCACTGTCTTCTCTAGTCTTATTTATTCCTCCTAACAGTTCTACTGTATAGAGGGACTGCTATTATCTGTTTCATGAATGAGGGAATCGAAGCGTAGACTAGTTACAAGTCTTGCCTAAGTTCAATATCTAGGTGGTGGTGGTCATTTGAACTCAGGTTGGTGTGCCCCAAAGCTCATATATATCAGACTCCTTTAGTCTCCACTATTTGGTCTGACAGGTGTAGCCTAGGCAGGCTGTGACTTAGACAATGTAATTTGAAGAGTCTTGCTACTCCTAATACTAACTCCAACTGGCTCCTCTAAGTATGCTCTAAGGAAGCATTTTTTTCTAAAGATCACTGCTGAAACACCCATGAACTACCTAGGGTAGCCACGAAGTCAAGTGAGCAATTCTGTCCTCCCTTGATGCCCAGAGATCTGATTACTGGGTTAACTGTCTCTTTGGAGACCATGGGATCCCTGGGTGATTTCCATGGTACAGGAACTGTGACCTGGATAAGCTTCTGGGACACGGTTCTGGAGTCATCTGTGGGACTGAGGTCACTGGCTTAGAGAGATGAGTTCGGGATGGACGAGATGCTCTTTAGACACGGGGTGGGGAAAGAACTCAGGGACAGGATGAAGCTCTCTTCCTGCCATCTTTTCTCACTCCCATTCCTCTGTTCTCTCTCTCAGAAAGTGCAATCCCCAAATGCCCTAGAACTCAGCAGGAGAAGTAGTAGCATGGCACAGCCAGCACACTCATGGGGCCTCTTGCTGGTTCTGGAATCCCACGTGGAGGTACACACCCCTGGGTTATTTCCTTAAAGGAAGTCCTGATTTCCCCGAGTCTCTTCCCAGCTGACTGTAGTGGTAAAGAACCCACCTGCCAATGCAGGAGAGACGCGGGTTTATCCCTGGGTCGGAAGATCCCCCAGAGGAGGAAATGGCAACCTGCTCCAGTATTCTTGCCTGGAGAATACCGTGGACAGAGAAGCCTACAGTCCATAGGGTTGCAGAGTCATTCAGGACTGAGGCAACTTAGCACACACGAATGCTATCTCCATGCTGAGTGGGAGCAGAGAATTGGTAGGGAGAATAATGCTTTGGAAAGGTAGGAGAGTAGATCAAAATTGCAACCAAGATAAGCTATCTGTGTGCTTATAAATTTTCACTTTAATCTTTTTTTCCAAGAATATGAAAATGTCCTGAATTTTTACCTTCCTTTTAACTTCTTTCTGTAGAACTTCAAAGAATAGCTTGACCATTTATCCCAAGATTTTCAGGTCAGACTCTACCGGCATGTAACAGTGATCACAACCTTCTCCTTTACCAGTTTGATCTCAGAAGGCACATCAGTGTTTAAAGATGAGATTAAATATTAAGACATTTTGCTGCTGTTCTGAGAAATACAGAAGGTACAAGTTGTTTTTATGTGAAGCTTACTCAGCACTGAGTTTAACATTTGAGTCAGCAATTTATTACTTTCTCACTCAGTATATATTTACTGAGCTTCTACAGTGCTTCAGTGTACCAGGCAAGGTTCTGGAACCCAGGGGCAATTTGTCATGGACTCAGTTCTCAAAGAAATTCCGTATCTATCAGACAAGACAGAGAATAAGAAGGAAACAGACACTTGAATGCAATTTTTTTTCAGAGAGAGATAGGCATGCATGCGTGTGCATGCATGTATATGTGTGCACACACACACACACAGGGATGTAATAGAGAGTGGTTCCTGAAGTAGGAGGTATTAGACAGGTGGTCTTATAGGAGATGCCGTTTGAGCTGAGACCTGAGCAGTGAGGGAGAGCCATCTCTGCAGAGACCCTGAGGAAGAGCTCTGAAAGCTAGGAGAACAGCCAGTACTTGAAAGGCTGTAAAGAAAGAAAGAAGCAGGAGTGTAACAAGTAAGGTGGACAGTGGCTGGAAAGGGAGGCAGGAATCAGGTCAGGTTGGACCTGCAGACTGTGGTCAGAGGGGTGGGTTTTATTCACAGTGTAATGGAAAAGTCACCAGAGGTTTCCAACAAGAAATAACATGATATGATTTATGTTTTATAAAATGACAGGTTGCCTTGAGTGGGGATGGAGGAGATGAAGTGCCTGGCTTTGGGGAGCTGTCACGGGGCAGACGGCGAGTCAATCTGTGTTGAATAAAGAGGAAAACCTCCTGATGGATGGGGCATGATGTTTGGCTTGAACGAATGGGCGATGGTGGCGTCCCTAGATGCCTCTTTAGCCTGTGATCCTCACAGGGCCCTCCCTGGCGAGGCTTCTACTTGTCTCTGGGTGGTTAAGATACTTAGTCTTTAGCATTCAGGGAGGCCCTTCTGCTTTAGACAGCTCCTTAACAAAAATAAGTATCTCAGAAAAAGGGAAATGATGTTATCTGGGGACATTACATTAATTGTATTGACATCTCAGAATATATATATATATATATATATATATATTTTTTTTTTTTCCCTCATGAAGTTTCTGATGATGTAAAATTTAAAGATTCGTTTTTCAGAAGCAGGATCACTGACTCTAGATGACTTCCCTTATATTTATATGCCTACAGGGTGAAAAAAACCTGGACAGTTAAAAGCACGACTATAGGTTATTAATGAACATGTACTTTGATCATAAGAGCCAGTTTGTCCAAAAAGTCTTACCTGTTCTTGTTTTCTAGTTCTGCGATCAGCTGCCTTTGTTGCTTATTTGCATCAATGGTGAAGGAGATGTCAGGGGCGCTCCTCTGCTGAGTTGGCTGCTGTAAAATATGTGGTTTACACTATTTAGTATCAGGCAGGGGAATCTATGTGTGTTTGAAAAGACAGGAGTCATGATATATGCACATGAAAAAGACAACCATTTTTACCAAAACAAAAAAAGCAAAACATGTAAAATTAAATGGCCATTCCTCTCCTAAGGACCAGATTTTGGGGAGGTCTGGAGCACATTTATGGGATGGAAAGCAGAAGAGAATTCTTTTGCAGGCAAATACACAAAATGTGGGACAGAAAACTGGTTCCAAATTCCTGATTTGGGGGATCGAGTTCATTCTTGCCATGCTCTTCCCATTGCAGCTATTTTTTTTTTTTTTTCCAATAAAGGGCTTTCCTGATGGCTCAGATGGTAACAGAATCCACCTGCAATGCTGGAGACCTGATTTTGATCCTTTGGTCAGGAAGATCCCCTGGAGAAGGGAATGACTATCCACTTCAGTAAATGAATTAGTGCTGAGGTATCTTTCTCTAGAATTACTGTTCAACCACTGTAATATATAATTTAAAAGATGCATAGTTTTAAAGTGAAAGTGAAAGCTGCTCAGTCATGTCCTACTCTTAGTGACCCCATGGACTATACAGTCCATGGAGTTCTCCAGCCCAAAATACTGGAGTGGGTAGCTGTTCCCTTCTCCAGGGGATCTTCCCAACCCAGGGATCAAACCCAGGTCTCCAGCATTGCAGGTGGACTCTTTACCAGCTGAGCCACAAGGGAAGCCCAAGAATATTGGAGTAGGTAGCCTATCCCTTCTCCAGCAGATCTTCCTGACCCAGGAATCGAACCAGGGTCTCCTGCATTGCAGGAAGATTCTTTACCAACTGAGTTATCAGGGAAGCCTATAGTTTTAAAGTCAGAGTCACTACAACTTTCGTCTCTTCTTCTTTTGGTCAAAATACTTCCAGCATTTCTTTACTCATATATGTAATTTTACGTTGATGGGTTGCAATCAGCTTTAACAACTGATGTATATGCAGTCACCACTTTCTCCGTTCTTACATAATCACATAGATTGATATAGAAGAATATGATTATATAGGAATTATATACATGGCTATATATGATTAGATATCATATATATGATTTTACAACAATAGATATGTGTATATATACCTCAGATACTGTATTTACATGTGCTGTCCCGTGCTGTTTAGTCACTCAGTCGTGTCCGACTCTTTGTGACCCCATGGGCTATAGTCCTCCAGGCTCCTCTGTCCATGGGGATTCTCCAGGCAAGAATACTGGAGAGGGTTGTCATGCCCTCCTCCAGGGGATCTTCCCAAGCCAGGGATTGAACCCAGGTCACCTGCACTGCAGGCAGATTCTTCATCATCTGAACCACCAGGGAAGCCCAAGGATACTGGAGTGGGTAGCCGATCCCTTCTCCAGGGGATCTTCCTGACCAAGAATCGAACCAGGGTCTCCTGCATTGCAGGCAAATTCTTAACCAGCTGAGCTGCCAGGGATGCTGTGCATATATCTGTATGTGTATTTAGTGAAGCGATTATTTGATATTGTTTTCTAGAAAAAGGGTCAGGACTTCCCTTGTGGTCCAGTGGTTAAGAATTTGCATGCCGATGCAGAGAACACAGATTAGATTCCTATTTGGGAAGATTCCACATGCCAGAGGGCAACTAAGCCCATGCATCACAACTATTGAAGCCCACAGGCCCTACAGCCCAGGCTCCACACACACAAAAGAAGCCATTGCAATGAGAAGCCTGCACACTGCAACTAGAGAAAGGCTGCATGGAACAGCGATGAAGACCCAGCACAATCAAAAAATAAGTAACAGGGTCAGATTATGTAGATTTCCTTGTGCTTTCTTTGCTCTACATTATAAAAATTCCCCCCAATTTTTAATTATTTTTAAAGCAAATTAAAAAAAAATAAAAACTAATCTTTCTACCACAGAATGTCAAGCTTTAAAAAAATAGCACCCATCGTCTAAGCCCAAAGACATGGAGAAACGCTGCCTGAATTTTAATTCCAGAAAACTAACTGTAGGGAAAGGTTTAAACTTGGTGAAGCTCTGGCTTTCATAAAGTTTTTCTATTGCTTTTTAATTTAGCATTTCTTTTAACAAAGATACAATTTGTATTGCTATTGAAGAATTGTGAGGTCCTATATTTTACATTCTAAATGGCCTTCTATAGCTAAGTCTGGCCTTTGGCACCTTTGACATGTGATGAAGGTTTCTTTTTTTTAAATTTTATGACATCTTTTTCTCTTTCTTGTACATATTTTGCATGTATTTTGGTTCTGTGCTCAGTTCCTTGCTGCTGCTGCTGCTAAGCTGCTTCAGTTGTGTCCGACTCTGTGCAACCCCATAGACGGCAGCCCACCAGGCTCCTTTTCCCTGGGATTCTCCAGGCAAGAATACTGGAGTGGGTTGCCATTTCCTTCTCAGTTGCTTGTTGTGGTCAACTCTCTGTGACCCTGTGGACTGTAGTCCACCAAGTTCCTCTGTCTATGGAATTTCCCAGGCAAGAATACTGGAGTGGGTGCCATTTCCTACTCCAGGAGATCTTCCCAACCCAGGGATTGAAACCCATGTCTCCTATATCTCCTGCACTGGCAGGTGGGTTCTTTACCACTGCATCACTTCCATACTGATAAAAGCAGAAGTTTATCTTAGCCAGTTGTGGATTTGAGTCATCGCTTGCTCTTTGTATTTATTGATTAGACATTATCCAGAGAAATCAGGAGTTGGGCTGATTCAGCACTGTTGTCCCAGAATTCCTCAAGCTCTGATTCACGCTAGACCAGAATGATCGCTGAAAAGTAAAAAATGGAAGCAGCAGAAGCCAGATTGTTTTTAGGTCTCGCAGATGGCTCAATAGCAACCACTTGGCTTTGCTGTTGTGGCACCAGCAACAGGACCATGGTCGATGTGACATCTCGCACGCAGGCTACTTACAGACGAAGTGGACTCTGCCGCCAGTCTGGCCGCGTATCTGGCGATCAGCCGGTGCTCTTCATCAAGCCGGTTGGAGCTCTCAAGCATACTGTTGAGGACAGAGGAAGAAGGAGCCTGTTAGGCAACTGAGAAAGACAGACTCGTTCATACTACCACCCAGGGAACGGGGAGGGGCTTGCTCTTTCAATTTTTCAGTGCAAAAAATTTGAAAGCCAAAACAAAGTCCTGTTAGATTATTAACATCAGACTCAGATTCCTGAAAAAGTGAAAAGTGAAAGTGTTAGTCACTCAGTCATGTCTGACTCTTTGCAACCCCATGGACTGTAGCTCGCCAGGCTCCTCTGTCCATGAGACTGTCCAGGAAAAAATACTGCAGTGAGTTGCCATGTCCTGCTCCAGGGGATCTTTCTGACCCAGGAACTGAACCTGTGTCACTTATGTCTCCTGCATTGCAGGCAAATTCTTTACCATCTGAACCACCAGGGAAGCCACGGCATGATCTAATATGTGGCCAGGAAGGTCATTAATAAATCTTGACTTACTAAGAAAGGTCCAAGGAGCAGTGACTTTTCTGATCAATATTTCTGATCAATACTTTAAGTTGTATTGCCTTTAACCATTTTATTTCTTTATTACCCCAGTAACATGTACTCCTTGGGAAACTGATGTGTTAGACAATAAGAAAGCAAGACGGAAGAAGAAACGGATTGTGGTCGGGTCCCAGGGATCCCCACCTCCTGATAGTCACACTCCTGTGTGTAACCCTCTCCCTTTATAATGGACAGGACTTAGAGACTTGCTTCTAGTGAATGCCTCGTGGCCGAAGTGATGGAAGGTAACTTCTAAGACTAGGTTATAAAAAGGCCCTGACTTCCGTCTTGGACATGCTTTTATTTTCCTGTCTCTTGAGCTCTTTTGGGTTGCTTGCCCTGTAGGAAGCTGGAAGCCATGGCATAGGCTGCTCTGTGGCAAGTCCTAGGTGAGGAGGAACTGAAGTTGGCTAGTAACCATGTGACTGGACTGCCTTCGGTAGGGCCTTTAGATGAGACCACAGCCCAGTGGACAGTTTGATCAGCACCCCGGGTCCTCAGCCACAGACACCTAAGTCATACATGGATTTCTAACCCACTGTCTTGTTATTTCAAGCTGCTAAACTTTGGGGTAATTTCTTATACAGCAGTATATGATGAATATAATTTCTCATCTACAATATTACCACCCAGGTAACTTGCTGTTTTATATTTACTTAACGGCAACCCACTCCAGTACTCTTGCCTAGAAAATTCCATGGACCAAGGAGCCTGGTAGGCTACAGTCCATGGGGTCACAAAGAGTCGGACACAACTGAGCGACTTCACTTTCCAGAGAAGTAGAATTACATTAATGGTAATGGTTTCTAATGGTGTGAATCATTTAGTGTCTCCTATAAATTTATGAAAATTCTTCCTACTAGGATAAGATTAGTCTGACCCCTTAAAAACCTCCTAAAAACTGCAGGACTTCCCTGGCACTTAAGATTCTGTGCTTCCAAGGCAGGAGGTGTAGGTTAGATCTGTGGTTGGGGAACTAAGATCTCACATGCCTCATGGGGTGCAGCCAAGAAAAAAAAAAAAAAAGAAGAAGAAGGAAAGAAAGAAAAAAAAAAACCCACTAATGCAAATAGAAGCATTATCAACTCTCCCAGAGAGCTGATATTTCAGAAAGCTCGTCACTTAAGACTAAGTTTTGGGTACTAAAAAAATTTTTGTTTGTTTGTTTGTGAGACATACCAGTAACACTAATCTTGTTAGTAGACTAATTAGCCAACTAGTTTGGTTTATCAGTTATTATGGTGAGTATCACGTCAGGAACAAGATTAGAAACCAGTTTCTTCTCAACCCCTTATACTTATATTGTCCTCCACTGGCTCTTACATTTAAGCTTGTTCCTTAAAAAAATTAATCCTCATGATTATACATTAAAAATGACACACTTCTCTGCCAACATTAAGGTTATAAGAATTACCCACCAAAAAGACTTGGTTTCACATAAAGTAATGTACATTTATATTATTTATGTGTACATTTACATACACAGTAAACATGCAACAGAGTCTTTTAACCTTTGTTCTAAAGTGAGAAGACAAGTAAAACTCAGCGTATTAGCTATGTCACTTCCAAAAATAGCTCTTCTTGGCTCAGCAGAATACATTAGTGTAACCTTTTTTTTTCTGGTCATTTGGAAGATATTCCTGTCTCCACTATCTCTGCTTTGTCTACATTTCTCACATAAGTAAACTATATCTATTCTTATTCTGAATGCTTCCACTAGACTATGCCCTTTTCTCTAAGTTGCCATTTCCTACTTAGGATATTCCTGAATTTCTCCATTTACCCAATTATTTCTCCATCATCAGAGAAATAGTCTTCTATTTCCTGCTGCCCAAAGGAGATAATGCATGGAAAAAGCATCAAGCTAATATGATTCCTGTGCTGTGCTAAATCGCTTCAGTCATGTCCAACTCTTAGCGACCCCATGGACTGTAGCCTGCCAGGTTCCCCTGTCCATGGGATTCTCCAGGCAAGAATACTGAAGTGGGTTGCTGTGCCCTTCTCCAGGGGATCTTCCTGACCCAGGGATCAAAATATGATGCCTAGAATACATTAAATGCTCAAAAATATTAGTTAATATAATTTTATTGTTATTTTGCCTCTGAAGTAACCTGTTCAGATTCACTAATGATTCTTGTCTCCTTCAAAATGTCACATACCATCCAACAACCATCTAGAGCAGGGTTTCTTAAACTTTAGTGTGTATACATATCATGGAGGGATCTTGTGAAAATTCAGTCTCTGATTCTAGAGTGGGGGTGGTGGGATAGGATGGCATCACAGAACCTGCATTTCCAGCAAGTTCTCAAAATATGTTAATATTTCATTCTGAGTAGCAAGGACCTAGAAGATCTTGAAAATAAAATGGAAAAGTTAAACAATGAAATGAACCCTAAATGTAAACTGTTTAAAGAGATCATTTTTCGTATCCATATAGCATTGTGATATTTTACAAATATTCCCTTAAGATAGATATTCTTTGATTCAGGGCTCACCTATGTTTAGTACTATTCCTAATGGATTGAGGTTTCAATCAGCATACCAATTCAGACTTGGAATAAGAAACTATTTTACTAGCCAAAGGCTGAATTAGTTCTGGACAATGGATGTTTTAAAACGGATGTTTAAAACAGATGTTTTATAATACATGTCTGCACTTTGCAGTGGTTAAAAATAATAGCTGAATTTCTTGCTACAGCTTTAATAAGAAAGTGAAAGTTATCCTGTCCTTACTTTAAAATAAAACTGCCCCACAAAGAAACAATTTAATTTGATTTTTAACACATTTATCGTTTTCTGGTTGGTGTATTAGAGACCATGTGTCTAATTCAACACAGTTTATGTAGACAAGGCCCACTGCTCTAAGCTTGGGACAACGATCTGTTTGACTGCCTGAAAGTGACTTTGTCAAAAGCATTTGTGAGTGTTTTGATAAATAAATAATAAAAAAAAACCTTGATAAAGGAAAAAAAAACTCATGATAAAAGTACTTTTTATCATGAATGACCAGAAGGTATAAATAATACGAAGGTTACATAAAAGGAGCCTCCTGGAAATGTAAGACGTGAAGGTATGGGATTTTGCCTAGTAAGCTATAACTCATGCTTCCCTGCCTCTCCTTCCCCAGCACCGAGTGAATGAGGGGTGAAATGATGGATCACCCCTTTGCACACACAAACGATTTATGAGTCCACATGTGCAATTTCAGTATGTTCACATTATACAAGGGTGAATGAAGCAGTCCCCTAATAAATTCCATTATTTCAAGACTTCAATTACAAATAGTCGAAACTAAATGACCAATAATCCCTAAATCATTAAAGAAATACCAATTCCAACATCATCTCCATCCTTGCCTAGTCATTTCCAGATTGTATAATCTTGCTATAAGACCATGATGAATTAAAAAGAGGCTGCTGTGTAGAATGGGGAAATCTATTATTTTGCAAATTCTCCATTTTCTATCTTAAATACACGGCCAGCGTCTGTTGCTGTGATTTCAAAATGGCATCTGGGAAACTTGAGTGGCCCCAGCAGAGCTAGGGCTTCCTAAATTATGATGTAGTAGTGATTTCTGGGAACTCAACGTTCGTTCACATTTCTCTGGTATCTCTACAGGCCTGTTTCCCTGGCGGCCCAGGGTTTAGGACTTCACACTCTCACTGCTGAGGGCTCAGGGTCATTCAATCCCTGGTTGAGGATCTAAAATACTACAAGATATGCAGCAAAAAAAAAAAAAAAAAAAAATCAGAATAAATGTAAAAAAATGTATTTGTCTACATTTGGGTCGTGAAAAGATTCACCTATGTTAAAAAACCAAAACAAATAATAAGGTGATCCAAAGGGCACCAGAAATACCTCTTCATTTTTCCTGAGTATTTTTTCTATTTGTCAGAATGGTGACAGAAACTTTATCACTAGAGATTACTTTTTATGGTCATTAAGTGTGACTGCTCTTTTATTAAAATGCAAATAGCTATTAGGAAGATTACTGCCTGAGAAGGCATTACTAGTTATTACTTAAAGGGGAGGATGACTTTTTCCTTATCTTTCACAGTTGGTTACGAGCAAAATGCCATAGGAGTCTTCTTCCCTAGTGGTTCAGGTGGTAAAGAACCTGCCTGCAATGCAGGAGACCTGGATTTGATCCCTGGGTCAGGAAAATCCCCTGGAGAAGGGGATGGCTACCCACTTTAGTATTCTTGCCTGGAGAATTCCATGGACAGAGAAGCCTGGTGGGCTACAGTCCATGGGGTTGGAAAGAGTTGGACATGACTGAGTGACTAACACACACACACACACACACAAGGGGAGGATGACTTTTCTTTATCTTTAACAGTTGGTTGAGAGCAAAACGCCATAGGAATCTTCATGGATGATAATAATAATGATAATAGTAACTTACAAAAAGAAAGCCTTCTCTTTAGGGGTGCCTTCAAACTCCTTTATCAAGACCCTGACTTTGATAACCCACTATGTTATAATCGTCCACCAAGTC